GTAGTATATGATATTAGTAGTGAACAGAATGTCTGACAGCAGAGAGACAAAAGGATCGAACAGTAAAGAATGGAAAACAGAATGCAATTTGTATGAAAATGCAAGAACAAAGGAATTCTGAGTCATTTTAAGACAATTGATGGACATTTTGCAAATTGACCATTTACTATATGATGGTTGTTCGATTTGATTAACAAGTCCTGTAAATTTGGGTTAAGTACATTCGATTGTCCCCATCGGTGTTCTGTTCACTACAGTATTAATGTTATTACTATTATTAGTATTAGTATCAGTTGAAATCATGAGTCAATTGAAGCTAGACCACCATGAAAAACCTGGAAGCACTAGACGGACGTTTCATCCTAGTATGGGATTCCTCAACAGTGTTGTTATGACCTTGATTTGTCTATCCACTTTTTGGTGCCGAGGATACTTGTCTAATCTAGATTTCGATCTTGATGTGATAGGCTGATCGGCTTAATCTTGAGACTAGTACGCGTGAGGTCGAGATGGGATAGAGAGAAGAAAAACTATTCTGTCACCTGATTAGTGGGCAAGCACATGAATGAGAGAAGACAAGACAAATTAGAACACTACTCGATCTATTCCTGACTTCAACTGAATATAAATAGGTGAATAACCTGACCGCAACATACAATAATTAGTAAAAATACAATTAGATCCAATGCTGGGAATTAAGGTAGAAAATAGGATGCAAAATAATATGTTTAAATGACAATAGCTTCGGAACAGAAAACAGTATGGCAGTGAATGATACATCGAACGAAAGCTTATGTTCTGTAGAATAGATTAGAGACAAAAATAAATGTGACTGTGTTTTACAAGCTTTGTCAGAGCTTCTTATTTCCCGGTTCACATTAAGTGCTCAGCCACGATTCTGCCCTTTACTGCGAGATTCGAACCCAAGACTTAACAGTCCAGTGCTTCCAGGTTTTGCATCGTGGTCTAGCTTCAATTGACTCATGATTTCAACTAATGACATTTCTAAAATCTCCACAAAATCCCTTCTGATTAGTATTAGTATTGTTAGTATTAGCATTAGTATTATTAGTATCAGTATTGTTGTAGTGAACAAGAATATCAATGGGGATAATCGAATGTATTTAAGCATATAATTACAGAGCATCTCGTTAAAATCTGAAAACCATCTATAGTAAATCGTTAATTTGCAAAAATATCAATCCATCATTTTAAACTTCACTGTTCCTTTTGCAAATATCAGTCCACTGTCTCAGATTTGATTATTCCTGCATTTTCATACAAATTGCGTTCTGTTTATGTTCTTTCCTTATCGATCTTCTGCTGAAACACATATTCTATGTTTGACTGCCGTTATATACTACTTGTGTGGATATAAGTAACCCACACTACACTTGTCCCCCTTTTTAAAGCAGTCGTTCTTGCCGTGGTTCTGCTCGCCGTGCCATTTCCTTCTTCTCTGCAGTCTGTGCCACACTCTCTGTCAAAATGTTGAGTTTTTCGCGCGCTGACTTCCATAGCTCCGTCGATCTGACATGGGAACCAACATCCGACCTCCACCCGGCACATGGGACATTTAACACCTGTTCTCCACTGGCCTGCTGAGCCATCTACATCCGGTGTCCGTCCAGCAGCCGCATATCCCACCGCTCCTCTCCGTCGACAACATCCTCTACAGCCAACGCCGTCCCGCCAGAACACTACACTAGACTCCACCTTTCCGTACCAGACTGCCCCAACCTCTACCCCGACTCCAGGCCCGTAACGGCGTCCACAGAACAGCACCCTTCCCAGTCTCTTGGTTGGCATCGACATCAATACGAGTGGGAACAATCGAATGTATTTGAAATATATTCTATGAGTGACCACCGTTATATACTACTTATGTAGATATAAGTAACCCACATCACAGTATTACTACTATTAGTATGAGTAATAGTATTAGTATTATTATTATTATTCTAAAATGAATAATAAATCAAATTAGATTGTTTACATTAAATGAATTAGAATAGCAAGCAATTAATGTAAACACTAAATTAGATTGAATAATCATGTTGTTTTGTTTTGAATGTATTTCATTATAAACAATTACATAATAATATGAATGAATTAACAAATGAATGAATAAAGTCATTTGAATAAAACAATCATTGATAGATATGTTGAATGAGAATCTTATTCATGACCTAAGATAAGACAATGAAAATGTATAAGATGATATGTTTCGTTCTAGTTTCTAACTCATTGTGTCCTATATACTACTAATATAGACAGTTATATAAGTAGTATGTATCATTAGTTGAAAGTGATATTATTTGGAGATCTGTATCCATGACAGTAAGTGTTAGGTTTGAAGCGGTTACAAGTTCACTTAGACTGCGAATAGAACAATAAGCTAGCTATTTAATGCATTCCAGCTCCATGAACTAAAGGAAGAAATCGAAGCTTGGCATGGGGAAGTATATTCTGAAAACTGTCAGAAAACACGAGCGATAACAACAAACACAATTCAATACGTATATATACAGTACAAAACCGTCCTTTGGGAGAGTTACTAAATAGCATACTAAAAGACTCAACGGTTCAACAGCACTTAGGATATTTCCCAAGTGGGAAATACGACAAGAATTATTAGAAAATGGGACAATTATTCATTGAACATAAAATTAGATCAAAATTGCAATGTTTTAAGAAGCTTTAATAGTTCAGATCATGAATCAGTTGAAGTTAGACCACCATCGAGAACCTGAAACCACTAGACGGCCATCTCGTCCTAGTATAGGAATCCTCAGCAATGCGTATTTACGATCCCACCTCACGAGATTCGAACCTAGAACCATCGGTCTCGTACACAAGTGCTTTGACCTCTAAATCACTAAACTTACTGGCATCCAACGGTGTTAATGTCTAACTTCAAATAATCCACAAAATTGAGCAACACATCCACCATTGTCTTCAGTGAGTTACTATCTTACAACAAACCTGGTTGAACTCTACTGGTCACCACTTCTCACTAGAACTCCAGGATATACCTCGCGCGAGAAACCAGCAGGTCCTGGGTTCGAATCTCGTGAGGTGGGATCGTAAATGCGCACTGCTGAGGAGTAGTCCCACAATAGGACAAAACGGCTATCCAGTGCTTTCAGGTTTTCCATGGTGGTCTAGCTTCAACTGACGCATGACCTTAACCATTGAAATTACTACAATCTCTACAAAACCCCTTCTGTAATTCTGTTAATCAAATTGAATAATAATAATAATAATAATACTATACTTGTCAACTGCAAATTACTATCGGAGTTACCATATGTGAAGCTCATTCACACGAGAATTCACTCAGGTATAACTCATGGTCATAGATAATGATAAGACGATCATATTGAATTGGTTGAATTTGGAAATATCAACCGTTTTGATTCGGATCAAACAGTTTAAATGTAAAATAATCATCATTCTTGATCCGTTTATTAATTCGATTAAGGTTAAGAACTGTTGAAGTGTGTAAAAAATGTAGATGGAAATTCTTGTCCAGTATTTTGCATCAAAGATTCATCATAGTTATCCTATCGCACAAGCCAATGGCTATCAGGATTCAGTAGCTAAGTGGATAAGGTGATGGCGTTTGAAGCGGACGGTACTGGGTTCGAGTCCTAGAGTGAACATCAACTCTCAGATGCAGGTACATCCAGCTGACGAGTCCCAAATAGGACGAAACGCGCGTCAAACTGGATTCCACTGCTAGCCACTATCCATCTTTACTTATAATGCTTGTAAATTAAGGCAATATCGAGGCAATCCGCACAGTATGCACATATGCCAATAAGAGACTGATCAATTGCAGTCCTAAACATCAATGGGAAGATTCAAATAAAACAACAATATCAAGTGAATTAAACTTCACCCCATTGCACAAGTAAGTGGCTATCAGGACTCAGTAGCTAGGTGAATAACTCGATGGTGTTTGAAGTGAATGTTATTGAGTTCGAGTCTTGGAGTGAATATCAACAAATCTGAAATGTAGGTACATTCAACTGACAAGTCCTGAATAGGACAAAACGTGCATTCTGGATTTTACACAATCAACTACTGAGCAGTGTATTCATCATTAAACAGGTACACAAATATTTCATTTGTGTTACATGAAGGGTTATAGGAATTGGAAGAAGATGAAATTTAAACAAAATCAACCAGCCTTTAACTATGCTAGAAATTGTGAAGGAAGTTTTGAAGTTTCATTCGATAGATTTCAAGTACTTCATATACATACAACTATTTTTATTACAAGCAAAGATAGATAGTGGATGGCAGTGGAATTCAAAATACACGCTACTTCGTCCTATTCAGGACTTGTCAACCCGATGTACGTGCATCAGAGAATTGATGTTCACTCCAAGATTCGAACCCAGTTTTGTTCACTTCAAACACCATAGCGCCTTCCGCTTAAGTAGCCACTATCCACTTAAAGGCAGTATCGAAGCGATTCGTACAGAATACACATATTGTCAATAAGAGATTGATGATCAATTACCGTCCTATAGAGATCAATGATAAGATACAAGTAAACAATATCAAGTGAATTTAAACTCCACCCCATTGTAAAAGCAACTGGCTATCAGGATTCAGTAGGTAAGTGGATAACTTGATAGTGTTTGAAGCCAACGATATTCGGTTCGAGTCCCAAAAAAAAAATGAATATTAACAAGTCTAAGATGTAGGTGAATCCATCTGATAAGTCACAAATAAGATGAAACGTGTGTTAAACTGAATTCCACTATTAATCACTATCCATCTTTGTTTATAATACTTGTAACTTAGAGGCATTATCGAAGCGATTCGCACAGAATACACATATTGTCAATAAGAGATTGATGATCAATCGCAGTCTTATAGAGATCAACGGGAAGATACCTGGAAACAATACCAATTGAATGATCTTTAATGTGTTTTTCATTTTCCTTTGAAAATAGATCTCACTTATAAATTTGTTTTAATTACAGTTTTATTTGGTGTTCAATTTATTATGATGATAAATGGACAAATCAACTATTGATCAAACCGAATGAATTATGTGCTAAAGATTTCTATACTTATGATTCAGAGTCAAATCATAATGATATAGTGATACATCATATAGTTTGGCTTAAAATTCCCCTTCCAACTGGAATAGAAAACATTGACAATATGAATGAAACAATCAATCATACAAATAAGAAATTACAATCAAAAACTGTTAATCATGATATAAATATGATCAATCTATTATCAATATTGTATCATATATTTTTACCAATATCCTATGAATATGAACCAGATCTTATTTATCTATTGAATGGATCTAATCAAATGAAAAATGTAAGTTTTAATTATAAATAATGCTAATAGGTGTGATTATGAGTTATTTGAAAGTGGACAATTGTTTTGTCCTATTGCTCCAAAAATGCCCTGGTATGACTGAGAGTAGGGCGAGATCGCCCTCCCTCTCGAAATACTCTCACATGGCCACCGCGATATATAGCCTCTGCTAGGGAAGTCCTACTCACTGCCTTCTCGTGGTGGAGGTGTTGTTTATGAAAATGAGTGGACGAAAAGCGAATATCCGGTGCTTTAACCGGACCCCAAACCAATGGTGCACATGGGCTCCAGCATCCTGCGGGAACAAATGGCGTATGAACCAATCGTTGGTCACCGGCTACCATAGGACTACATGTCCTTACGATACTCTACTGCCTTGTGGGTCAGACGTTTAGGTCAAAGGCTCGGGGTGTGGCCCCCTAAGAAAACCACCTGCTTCGGTTTGGGCACCCGAGCAGTATCCCAGCCCTCACACAAATCAATTGATATCTGTGTGGTGCATATGTATTTGGTGCCTCCTTGTACCGATACCTATGTGTTAAAATACATAAATAAATAATTGTCTATTTAAGATCTATCCATGATGCAAACTAGAAAAAAATCAATCATTTCCACACAACCCCCCCCCCATAGTAACAATCTTCTTCTTCTTCTTGTTCTTTCTATAGGAATTTGTCACATTTGAAAGTTTAGCTCGAATAATTTATTTAATCAATGGATTAAGTATACCAATATTGATTAATGGATCCTCTATAAATGAATTATCATCAAATTATTTAATACAATGTTTACATGGAAAGCCAATAACGATTGGATTCAATGAATTCAAATCAATTTCACCATCATCAAAGTAAGAGAATAACAAGAATCATTCGTTGAATATTGTCAAGATTTGTTGAATTTCTTGGTAGTTATTCTTTATGATCTGACAATAGTCCGAGATACTGACCTAAATAGCAGGGAATATAATAAATGTGGACACATGAAACTTACTTAGGTTAGAGCCTTTTTCTGGCGAGTTAATTTTCTACAGGATAAGGTCACTAACTCCATGCCCAACCTTCCTTCTTTATCTGAGTTTGGGACTGGCAGTAGACCCTGGAAGGACTCCAGGTAGAGTTGGAAATTTTAATGGAGTTTTATTCTTTGAGCTGGATAGTTTGGTTGTGGAGCTTTCATCGTTCTTCTAAACGAGATGTCATTCATCCATCTGAGCTACAAATCTTCTCTCTCAACTTGAAATTGGAAATGTGAACTATTGGATGTTAATTTAGTGGTTTAAGGGTTACAGATTTGAGTTCGTAATTAAATACCTTAGGTTTAAACATTGGCATGGTTATGGGTACACATTGTTGACAAGTCTTATACTGATAAGAAATAAAACTGGCTATTCAATGTTTCCTGACTGATTATGGTGCTTCAACTGATGTCAATCGACCTATGTGGTATAATTACTTACCTACGTCTGTTAACCCTCCTCGAGGAGCATAAACCGCCCACTAGCATTCTCTATCCAACTCTGTCCTAAGTATTCATTTCCAGTTGCTATTTATCCTTTTGATATCTGCTTCCCATTTGAAAAGCAATATGTTCCTTGATCTTCCACTTTTCCGTTTCCATTCAACATTCCAAGTTCGGACATGTCTCGTGATACAGTCTGATGATTTCCACAATGTATGTTCTATCCACTTCCAGTGCCTTTCTTTAATTTCCTCTTCAGCTATTCCTGATGGTATCCGGTCAATGGACATTGAGTATCTTGAGTACACAATAATATATAAATACTTGTATATTTTTGATGATGGTTGTAGTAGCTTTCCACGTTTGAGCTCCTCACAGTAGGATTAACTGTCTTGACATTTGTATTGACGATTATGACTTTGATATTGGTTGGGAGTTGTTTTAAGTTCCATATATTGTTCAACTGTAGGAATGCTGCTGTTGCTTTGCAAATCCTCGCCTTCATATCTGCATTAGATCATCCTTGTTAATCGATTATGCTGTTCAGGTACAGGAAAGATTCCAGAGTTTCTACATGAAGTGTGATTAGGTTGATGTTCTCTGTGTTGTATATGAGGATCTTGTTTTATCGCATGTTTATTTTGAGGCCTAATTCGGTAATGGCTGCTGCCACATTGTCTGTCTTCATTTGTTCGTATGTATGTGATAGAAGAGCTAGGTCATCTGGGAATTCTAAATCGTCTAGTTGCATCCAAGCTTTTCATTTTATTTTTGTGCTTTCCCTCAAATATCGCGGCATTTATAATCCAGTCAACTATCAGGAGGAGAAAGGGTGAGAGTAAGCAGCCCTGTCTGACTCCGGTTCTCACTTGAAATGCATCTGTCAGCTGTCTTTTATGCATCATTTTGCAGTGTATTTCGTCATACGAATTCCGGATGATGCTGACATTCTTCTCAGGTATATCATAATGTCGAAGAAGTTTCCATGAAGTTCTCTTATACACACCGTCAAACACCTTCTCATAGTCAAAAAATCTGATGTATTGTGACGAATTCTATCCAATTGACTGTTCAATGATTATCCGTAGTGTCGTGATTCGGTTTGTGCACGGTTGATCCTTACGGAATCCGGTTTGTGAATTTCGAAGCTGGGTGTCTACTAAATCTTTCATCCAGTCCAGAGACAATCTGTTGAAAACCTTTCCTGGTATTGGCAATAATTGGATGCCTCTGTAGTTCTTACACTTGCTGAGATCTTCTTTCTTTGGTATCTTGATGAGGTATCCTTCTTTCCAGTCTGTCGACACTCCCAAATCTTTACGAATAAAACGTCGAGCATGTTTTCAGTTACTTCTATGTCTGGCTTCAGTATTTCAGTCTGTATGTTGTCTGGTCCTTCTTTCTCCCTCTCGATTTGTTTGATGATCATCCTGATTATTTCGTTTGCTGGTTGCACGACATCTACAGGGAGGTCTGTAGGTGCTGCTTTGATATCCGATGGGTTCAGTGGGACTGGTTTATTCAAGAGTTCTTCAAACTGTTCTTCTTCTTTTGAATCTCAGCGATTAAGTTGCTCTCTTTGGCCTTGATCTGGTTTACTATATTTCCCTGACAGTTTCTTCGTCGTGTCATACTGTTGTTCCATAATTCCTTCTCTTGAAGCTTTTCCTGCTGTCGTTGCTAGCTCTTCCACGTATCTCTGCCTGACGGCTCTAATGTTCCTCTTCGTTTTCTTGTTTGCTTCAGTGTGTTCAGCTTGTGCCTTGACATCTTCTTTTCTTGTGTGGCTGTTGTTAATTGCTGTCTTCTAGCTTTTCTTTTCTTGAACCCTATCCAGGGTTTCGATAGAGATCCACTCGTTATGACGATACATCCTGAAGCTCAGAACCTCCTGATACGTTGGGGTTAGTGCTTCCTTGATCCCTTTCCAATTGTTCTCCATAGTAGTTTCTTCTTGTGTGAGTAGAACTTGTAAGGCTTGGAACTTGTTGTTGAGAGTTATCTTGAACTCGTTGAGTTTGTCAGTATGTCGAAGAAAGGGTGTATTGAACCTTTGTAATGCCATTTGTCCAGTTGTCCAATGCTTCTTTAGCTTCATTTTCATTTTAACCACAGCCAAGTGGTGATTTGAATCTATGTCAGCTCCTCTTCTGGTTCTTAAATCTTCCATTGACCTTGTGAATTTTTTACTGATGCAAATATAATCTATCTGATTCTCCGTGGTGTGCAGCTTTGTGTATATGTTTGTGTGGGAATATTGTGCCACCCATAACGATTTTGTTTAATGCACATCAATTTCCGAATCTCTCACCATTCTCGTTCCTTTCTTCCAGTCAGTCCATGTCACACCGTAATATCTTCATACTCGATGTTGTCCATTCCAATTTTGACGTCTAGGTCGTCCATCAAGATTGTGAGGTCTTTCGTGAGCACGTCACTATGATTGATTGCAGTCTCTCACAAGACTGATCTTTATCGTCGTCATTGCTGTCATTGTTAGGTGAAACACATTGGATAACATTCATTGTGATTCCATCCGTCTTTGTTTCGAAGGATGCTTTGATGATCATGGATCCATTAGATTCCCATCCTGTAAGTGCTTCACGTGCTTCTTTCGACAGAATCAAAGCAACTCCCTGGGTGTGTAGAACATTTTGTTCTTCGTGATCAGAGTACAGCAACATCTCTCCCGAATCTATTCTTTTCTGTCCAATGGGTTCCACTATTTCCGAACACAGTCGAGTTGTATCTCTTCATTTCCACAATTATTTGATTGATCTTCTCGTTCTTTCACATTGTTCAAACATTCTATGCGTCTATATTAATTGTTGCTTTGGTTGTTAGAAGGGATATCACCATGAGACGTCGTAATTCTTCTGAATGACAATCGTTCAACTTGGAGAGCAGAACTTAAATGGTTCAATTTACATATTCTGGTTAATGTTTCCACAGCAAGGTTGTTTTCTACCGGATGATGTTATTGACTCCATACCCAACCCTCCTCCTTTACTTGAGCTTGATTCCGTCACTATCTATCAATATTGTTTCAGTTAAGTAATCTATCATCTAGAATATTCTTAACACACAATATGATTTGAGAGCTTGACATGACTATATCCATTATACCCATTATGATTCCATTCAATTTTAAATATGAACGTATGATGAGAGAGATATATTGAGTGTAGAACTGAGGTGGGGTATGACAACTGACAAGTTAGTCATCATTTATGAACTAAAACCCAAAGGAATTAATTTTTTTTGTATTTTGCTTTGATAAATAGTTTTGCAATGTACTTACATACTTACGCCTGTTAATCCCAATGGGGGATAGGCCGCTGATCAGCATTCTCAAACCCACTCTGTCCTCAACCTTCCTTACTGCTTCTATTCAATTGTTGTTCATTCTTCTGATATCTGTCTCCATTTCTAGGTGGGATGTGTTCTTCTTTGGTCTTCCTCTCTTTCTCTGGCCTTGAGGATTCCAAGTGATGATAGCTTGCTTTGTGACACAGTTGGATTCATTTCTCAATGTATGTCCTATCCACTTTCTAGCGATTCTTCCTGATTTCTCCCATCACTGGTATGTGGTTTGTTCTCTCCCACAGTAGTGTAGTATCTGACCAACAGATCCGAAGTATTTTGTGTACACAACTGTGAATAAACACTTGTATGTTGTGGATGATGGCTTTCGTAGTTCTCCAAGTTTCCATCCTTCTGCAATGTATAGGAGGAATAAATCAAACTTGAAACTTTAAATGTTAATCCATAATGGATATCATCTTGAACTCTTTTGTATTTTCATTGATAAATCTCGTTAATTATTCATTTTCAATTGGTGCTTTTGAAGTATACATTGAAACATCGACCTAAGAATCAATGCATCAATCTACATTCTCCTTCACAAAATACCATCCTCGGTAATTGATCTAAACGTTTGTTATTTATATTAGTTTATACTATAGACGGATTGTAGTTAAGTTTCAAGATGTGTAATTCCAGGAATTCTATTAAGGTGCCGTTTATATCTAGTGTAAGATAATTCTAAACTATCGTTAATTGATTCAAGTTCGATAATGTATACTATTAGATACCGGTTGGATTGTTTTATGGTTAAGTTCTAGTTGTGAAATCAATGATTCTGGAATTGATTCCCAGTGAGATTATAAATGTGAACTGTGAATTGTTCTAATACTAGGATAGAACAATGTTTCTTAGTTCTTAACAACTATCTAATTAAAATCAATTTGTAATGTAAGCTATGAGAATTCAATCATCTCAAAACTTCAGTATGTATATATGTATGTAATTGAATACATTCCATATTTTGTCTATTTTATAGAATGAAACGGATTATTCAGCTTATTATACAACAGAATCATCAAAGATGGAAATGTTTAGGATATTTTTGGTAAGTTAGAATGTAGATTGTTACTTCATTACATTGTGTAGTGAGTGAGTGAACACTGGGTAGAGACAGGTATTTACCTCAGTACAATGGAAGATGGTTGCATGATTTCGTGGATTGGTTGAGGTTAGACATTCATATCGTTGGATGCCGACTCGGTGGCCTAGTAGGTTAAGCGTTCGCGCGCGCGCGCGCGTGCGAGTGAAGGCCCTGGGTTCGAATCCTGAGAGCGGGAACTTGGATGCGCAATGCTGAGGAGTCCTACAATAGGACGAAACGGCCATCCAGTGTTTCCAGGTCTCAGTCAATAACTGAATAATCACCACAACCCTATACTGATAAAAAAGACACAACAGTTAAGTAAACACATTATGGTTACTGATTATATTTTAAGATAGTAGCAAAAAACCGATTAGAAATCTCTCCTACTGGGGACCTGTCAATTGGATATAACTGTGAAGTTCAATATTGACGTTCCTTCAGAGAATCAAAACTATATACTTCAAATGACAGAAGTTTATTCATTAGGTTACTACTGAATTACTATAGTTACTAATGTGCTCAGTTGTCAAGGTATAGTGGTTGAATAATTCGACCTTCAACCATTCGGTTATCAACTTGAACCTAGGTCCTCTTAAGTCAGTTTAGCCAATCCAGTAGTTAATGTAGCAAATTTGTGAAAATTTTTGAATTGTATTTGCTTACATTATGGATTGAATTCAGTTGAGCAACCACCAAAAATCAGAAAGTATTGGCTAATTGTTTTTTTCAGTTTTAAGATTCAAACTTCAATATTCAAGAAACCCTACAAACCTCCTACATTAGTAATTAGTAGTTATACCCTCAAGATATAGTTCTCTGGACTCTATTGAGACTCTGTACTCAATGGAGTTCAGGTATATCTGGTTTAAGGTAATTACTCACCTATATTGTTGATTGAAGTTAGGCAAATTAATTTTAAACGCTCATTACGGGATTTGAAATTTCTAGGTTCGATCAATAATCCGGTCGTAGATGTACATTGTCACTCATGATTCCTATACAAGGGTGAAACAGATGCACTATTTATTTACTTTAACAAGTAAACATTGGTACAAGGGGGTACTAAATACATATGGGCGACACAATAACAACGAAGTCAGTAGTAGTTATCATTGATTTATTTGAGGGTTGAGATACTGACTGGGTGACCAAACCGTAGCAGGTGGTTTACTTAGGGGGGGGGGCACCCGGAGCCTTTGACCCAAAGGTCTAATCTACAAGGTAGTAGAGCAAAGTCAGGAGATGCAGTACCATGGTAGTTGGTGACTAACAATAGGTTTATACACCTTTGATTCACTCAGGATTCTGAAGCCCATGTTCATCGATGATTTAGAATCAGAGTTTTCCAATCCCACCGAGATAGACCCCCCCTGTACAATGTTTACTGGTTTTATGTGCTTATATAAGGAATCTACTTACGTCTTCAGTTCTTACAATACCTATATGGGGGAATATTGGGTAAAAAGTCTGTACCTTGTGCACAAATCCGTGGTGGAATATCCCTCACACCTGTGATCAATACTACTGATCATCTTAATTTCATTCTTCTTTCCCTTGTTGAATGCGCTTTTCTGTTTTATCCTTCCATACATTTCAGAACTGTTTCAAAAGTGAATCAATGTACCAGTAATGCAAATTTATAAACGACTGCTTTCTATTGTAATCTTATAAGAAATGTATTGAATTTACTCATGTCGTTTGATTGAATAAAATACTTAAACTATTTATGTGTGTTTAATGTATTGTGAATACAGCTCAATCCTACAGGAGGTCAGTCGCGGACCGGATAGCCTAATGATAATGTCTCTAACTGTGAAGCTGGGTAACATGAAACTGAGTCCATCAGAGAGCATCAGTTCCCTCAAGATTACAGGTACACCTTGCTGACGAGTGACAAATAGCACGTAACCCAGGTCCAGGGTTTCCTGTTAATTACCTCCAACCACCATCTTATCTTAACATAGTGCACGTAATATCGAGTCACTTACACTGGTGTCCACATTGCGACTCGGTCTATGGGATTCGATCTGCACTAAGAAGGACCTGATATACATGACATTGATCATCATCCAGTGATCAATCCATTATAAACGTATTGGTTTAGTGCTCATTGTTCAGATTAAAGATTTATGATAGTCAGCTCAATGTGAAGTTTATTCTTATCATTGATGAATGTTAGTTGACAGGCCATTGAAAACTAGAAGAAGTATCATATAACAGTTTCGTAGTAGTTTGAGACTGCTCGGTAGTAGATACCTATGTCTTTGATACGGAATAAACCTAAGATAATTCAGTTTGGAGATAAGTCTTTAACTCTTACATCATTGAGCTGATATCCAGTGTTTTACATTTCTAACTTTAATTGATTTGTGATATAGCATGACAGTAATTCACTATCATTAATTGGTGATCACCATCTCACTCGACTAAATCAAAACTCTTCACTGGAACTTTGAGAACTCCTCTTGAAGCAAGCTATCAATGAGGATACTATAATATATGATTATCGAGATACTTTATTATAATTAGTTTGATTTACGGGGGGGGGGGCTATTTATCCAGCATTGAAAATCAGAAAACAACAGATAGCATATTATTTCTAACATGAGACACCTCATTAGTGCTCATTCAAGACCGTATAACAAAACCTTTACATATTTGGGCAGAATCATTGATGAACACGTTGGATCAGATACAGATGTGAAGGTACAGATCGGTAAAGCAAGAGTAGAATATATACAACTGAAGAACATCACGAACTCAAAACAACAGTCTGTCAACCAACACCAAAGTCAGAAGTTTCAATACAAATGTCAAGACAGTTCTACTGTATGGGGCACGGAAACATGGAGAACTACAAAAGCCATCATCCACAACATACAAATGTTTATTCATAGTTGTCTACACAAAATACTTCGGATCCGCTGACCAGACACTACACTACACTACTGTGGGAGAGAACAAACCACATTTGAGTGAAAAATGAAATCAGGAAGAATCGCTGGCTGAAACTGGATAGGACACACATTGAGGAAAGCACAAAACTACGTCACAGGGCAAGTCCTTATCACTTGGAATCCTCAAGATCAGAGAAGGAACGTCACATACAGAGGTTCTGATTGACTGATTGCTATACTACTACTATGTTTAGTAGTATTCCAGAATCTTCGAGCAATCTAAGTACATTTACAATATTCTAAAAACCCTATATTTTTTGTATTAAAATCAACCTTTGGAGTAAAGTACTTTTTGCATACTTTGCGCCTTCTCTCTCGTGTTCAGGTCGCTGTATAGTTCTAGCTTTGGGGGTTACAAGAAGAATAGCTTAGGAACTGAGTATAGCGCTCAAATTCGCAAAACTTATCACTTACCTCATCTTTTTCCCTATGAATTCCTTTTTCTTTGATGATAGAGCTTAAAAATTAAGAATCTAACATATATAGAAACTACTTATAGAAAGTTTTTAAATGACTGATATCAGTCAGTTATCCTTTGAGCTCTATCATCACAGTCTCAAGTGACCAAGTATTATATCCAGATAAACATAATGAATGGTAACTTTTGGAATCTATTATGGACAAATACTATACGTATATTTTTATCGTATAATTGTCAAGTAACTAAACTATTCATATTCATATCCCTCTTATTATGAGTTACGTTTTGATCCATAAACTTGAGATATGTCCGATCTATCAATTACTACCTTTCTCATTCACAGTCACATTTAGCTAAATCTTGTACAAATGTTGTTTCATATTTTATTGGTATAGTGTGATCTGTCTGGTTGGTATATAACCCCTGTATGCTTAAAATACATAATTCATATTGTAGAGGTTGAGACTAATGTTCTGGACTTAAACTATCTAGGCTAAGCAAGAAGCAGAACTGATAAGTACTGTATATTATTTATTATTTATTTATTTTAACACATAAGTATAGGTACAGGGAGGCACCAAATACATATGCGCCACACGAATCTCAATTGATTTGTGTGAGGGCTGTGATACTGCCCGGGTGCCCAAACCGAAACAGGTGCTTTCCTTAGGGGGCCACACCCCGAGCCTTTGACCTAAACGTCTGACCCACAAGGCAGTGGAGCATCGTGAGGAGATGCAGTCCCATGGTAGCCGGTGACCAACGATTGGTTCATACACCATTTGTTCCCGCAGGATACTGGAGCCCATGTGCACCATTGGTTTGGGATGTGGTTAAAGCGCCAGACATTCGCTTTTCGTCCTCTCATTTTTGCAAACAACACTCCCGCCAAGTGAAGGCAGTGAGTAGGACTTCCCTGGCAGAGGCTATATACACGTGGCCATGTGAGAGCATTTCGAGAGGGAGAGCGTACTCTCCCCACTCTCGGCCGTACCAGGGCATTTGGGGGCCCTATAGATTGCTCTTACAGGTTTTATGACGTCATTGATCCAATCGATAATTGGTTGCTCTCTAATTGGCGGTATCATTACATGTTATACATTAATTAGCAGGGCACATAGGTTCATAAGTTATAACATCAAAGACTGTTGTTCATTCCAAGTCTCAAGATATCTTTAGAATGATCTTGATTACTATAGTAATCTCATTCAAACAAAAACAGTTCATACATTTGACAAAACAAAAGAGAACATCACCCAAATAAGTAATATTATTGTATATCTATAAACTGCTTGTTTATACAAAATTACTAATGAAGAAATTTACATTATATATATGCATGTATTTGAATATGTGCAAATCAAAATAAGTAATTCAGTAGTATATATATATAAGTGAAAAAAAGAAGGGATAAAGGAATAAGAACAATAGAGTATACATAGTTAAAACAATATATAAGAAAGAACAAATCAGATCCCAGTGGAGGAACAAATTAGGAAGAAACGCTAGAAGTGGATAAAACACACACACACATTGAGGAAAGCACACAACTGTATCACAAGACAATCTCTCATCACCTAGAATCTTCAAGGCCAAAAGAAAAGAGAAAGATCAAAGAAGAATATATTACGCCAGGGAAATAGTGATAGACATGAAAAAAATGAACAACAATTAGATGGAACTAGAAAAGAAAGCCCATGACAGAGTGATTTCGTTGGAGAATACTGGTCGGCGGCCTATACTCCATTACGAGTAACAGGCGTAAATAACTAAGTAAGTAAGTCAAGTTAAAACAATATGATAACAATGAAATAAACAATACTGAGAATCATTTTAAACACTTTCTAGATGGATCTAAAATATGATTATGTAATTGATCAGTCAATCAATCAATCAATCAATCAATCAATCAGTTAGATACAATCTAGGGACTAAGCATTGGTCCACGTTGCCATATCCCATTAGTACAACAAGATGAACATCAGATTGATATATATATATATATATATAACTGGGATAGAAGGTTTAATCAAGAAGAGGTAAAGTAAAAAAAAGTTATCAAAGATGAAATGTCTTGTTTTAATAGTTCAATTTTATAGACCAGAATAGAAAACTTAGAAATATTTGGATGACCATTTCATCCTGTCGAGAAGTTCCATACTAGAACAAAACAACCATCCAATACTTTCATTTTTTTTCTATGATGATTTAACTTTAAAAATGACTAAAATCTCTATTCACAACACTCCCCCCCTCCCCTCGATTCTCTGATTATTACGTAGTTTGTTTTGTTTCTAAGAGAGAAAGAGAAAGAGAGAGAGAGAGAGGGAGAGAAGAAAAAAGAAACGATAAAAACAAATGCATCACTACCACCACCACCATCATCATCATTGTCATTTGGATTGGTTAGAATGAGTGTACAATGTGAAAGAACTACAACAATAACAATAACAATAACAACAACAACAATAAAATGCAGATCTATTATCCAAAGCATAAATCATATTCTATTCATTTAATGATTGAAATCAACTAACCACTATATGAAAATGATAAATCTTATATTATAAGGCATATTGTAACTCATCACTGATTCATTTTTGATCTCATTTAATGTATATCATGAATATAAGTAGTAATAATGAGTAGTATATAAATATATATTAAATAAAAGAGTATTTCAGCAGTAAAAACACCACATTATCTTTATTTGAATATGTATACATAAAGTATCGGTAAGAATATCATTTCCCGCCAGAAAAAGTTTTATTCTAAATGAAATCAAACCGCGGAAAATATGAAAAAAAGAAAAAGAAAAAAAAAGAAACAAAAGATTATGTAACAATCTGAATTGTTCTTGTTGTTGCTAAGTATTCACATACAAAAAAAGGAAAAAAAGAAAGAAAGAAACAAGAAAAACAAGAATCGTATAAAAAACTAAAGTGGTAATAGTACGAGGAGGAGGGGGGAAGAGGAGGAGAAGGAGGAGGAGGAGGCGGCGGAGGAGGAGGAGAAGTTAGTTTTTCCTTTACTGATTTGTTTGATGACCTATATATATATATAACAATGAAGTAAAAGATGAATTGAATAATTTTTCAATGAGTAGGAAAATGTTTTAAATTTGCAAAATGTTGTGATGTAGTTGTAGTCGGAGTAGTAGTTGAAAGTGGCATTGTTCTCAATTGAGATGTATTCAATGTAATAGGTTGTTGTTGTTGTTGTTGTTGTATTTGTGGATAATGAGGATGAGGATAATGTTGTTGTGGTTGTTGTTGTTGTTGTTGATGTAGAGGAATAGCAGGAATATGAGATGTTGGAATTAATGATAAATCACTATGATAATCAATCATTGAAGGTATATTCAATGAATGTGTTGAGGTTGTTATTATAGGTTGTTGTTGTTGTTGTTGTGATGGTGGTGGTGGTGATAAATCACTTTGTATAGGATAAATAGGATAAATTTGACAATTCATATTTACATTATTTATATCATTGAATACAATAGATGCTTTTGATATTTCATTCATATTATGATGTTCTATCATATATCCTTTAAATGTATTACTTAAATCATTGTTATGAGTAGTACTAGTTATACTACTAGTCGTAGTAGTAGTAGTAGTATAAGTAGTTATTGAAATATTTGTTTTAGATAAATTCGATAGAAATGATGTAGAATATGTAGATGATGGAATAGAATGAATAGAATTTAATTGATTTTCTAATTTTTTAATACGTGTTGTATATTTATATTTAATTTTATTAAATGCTTTAATTAATGCACTATTAGCACGTTTTAAATCATTTACTAATTCTTCACTTTGTATTTGTTGTATTTCTGTACTACTACGTAATGCTTCAAGAGCTTGTAATAGATTCTAGATATAAGAAAACAAGGAAGGGGGGCGGAGGGAGAATCATGATTATTGTATACAACACAATGAACATTAACTTAATCATAGTTCATGGAGAAACTGTGGTAGTCAGTCAGTTAGTCAGTTACAATGTAGGACCAGTCATATATATATATATATATATGCATCGGTTCAAGTTAACATACCTCATTAGCACAACAAGATGAATACTTAATTCATAGAGGTAATCACTTCAGTGTTAGTATTATATAAAAGAAAGATTGTAACTAAGGATACAGTAGTGTGTAGAAAGAAAGATATGTAACGATTTTAATCTCTTAGTTTAAAGGAAGATAAAGAGTGTGATCGATTCTGAGTCATGTCATACACGCAGTCTACAACCACTGGTTACGATAGTCACACGGAACCCAATCAAGTAGTCTGTATTTAAAACCTTCAATTTGAGTTTAAGAATCCTTTCTGATATGTGACAAATTAAATTCACTTGGTATTGATATTGAAGACTGCAATTGATCAGTCTCTTATTGGTGTATTTGTATTCTGTATGGATTGCCTCGATATTGACTTAATTCATAAGTATGCTAAGTAAAGATGGATAACAGCTAGTAGTGAAATCCATTTTAACCTGTGTTTTATTCTATTTGTGACTCATCATCTGGATTTACCTATATCTTAGACTTGTTAATGTTCACTGTCGGGACTCGAACCCAGTACTGTTCAATTCAAACACCACTACGTGATCCACTTGGCTATGGACTCCTGATAAGACGAAATGTGCATTCTGGATAATATGCAGTTAATTATATCTCGATCAGCAATAAAATAATGATCCCATAGAAAGATATGAAGTGATTTTAATCTCATTGCTTAAGGGAAGACAAAGAGTGTATACACCTACGGCATTGTGATCGATTCTGAGCCATGTCATACACACAGTCTACAACCACTGCTTATGATAGTCACGCGGACCCCAACCAAGTAGTCTGCATCTACCAACATGGCTAAGACTAGAAGTCGATGACTTCAATGACTAATGCCATGTTTTGGTTTGGTCGCCACTAACTTTCAACCATCCCCAACACCAGGTAGCATTGTGCGTTGTGGTAATCGGCGTTCAGGCACACGTAACACGTAGCTCAACCATCACATTCGATGAAGATTCATAACCTCATCAACTGATTTACCATCATTCCTTAATACCCTGCGTGTCTAAACTCTGGAAGAGGTGAAAACTTTCAAGTACCTGAGAAGCATCATTGATAAACAAAGAAGATCTCATGTAGATGTAAAGGCAGGGATTGGCAAAGCAACAGTAGCATTCCTACAGTTGAACAATATATGGAACTCAAAACACAACTCTCAACCAATATCAAATTCACAATCTTCGATACAAACCTCAAGACAGTTAATTCTATTGTACGGACCTGAATCTTAGAGAACTACCACAATTGTCATCAAAATAGTACAACTATTTATAAACAATTGTCTACTCAAGATACTCAATGTCTTTTGATCGGATACCATCAGCAATAGACTACTGTGGGTGAGAACATACCAGCTTTGAGCTGAAGAAGAAAAAAAGAAAAGACATTAGAAGTGGATAGGACATATATTATGGAAATCACCAAACTGCATCACGAAGCAAGCGCTTGCCTATAATCTTAAAAAGGGAACGGAAAAGACGAAGACCAAGAAACATATAGGGTTGGGAATAAAAAGCAAATATCAAAAGAATGTCTAACAACTGGAAACAAGTGCAAACTATTGCCAGAACAAAGTTGAATGGAGAATGCTGATGGGCGGCTTACTCACTTCCACGAAGGGCAACAGAAATAAGCACTTAAGTAAGTATTAGTAGCCAGTCATAATATCAGTGAAATCTCATACAAACCATAATATTTTCATCATCACTAAAGAATGGAAGGTAAAGAAATTTTTCTGAAAATGGTCTATTTTCATCTAGATACTCATTCAACTGTGGGTATTAATAATCTATTAGAAATCGATAAAAGTTGGCAATATCAATTATTGGGTTATAAATCAATATTGATTTAAAAGATGTTAATTTGTATTCAATACAATTATGATAAATTAGAAAAATGAATGTTTATTCTATATATTGATTTTCATTGAAACCATTAACCGATCGATATTAGAATAACACTGAAAACCTAGAAATATTAAACTGACGTTTCGTCTTAGTATGAGACTCTTCAACAGTGTTCATCCATCATGCGTTCACAAGTGATTAGCTTCGAGAAGTAATTCTCAAAGTTGTATTGAGAAACCATCACTAGTTGAGATAAACAATGTCAAGTGTGAAGTAGTTGCCTAAAGAAGACAATAGAAGATGGTTTTGCGATATTGACGATTGGTTGAAGTTAAATATAAATACTATTGGATCCCGGCACAGTGGTCTAGAGATTAGGTATTTGCATGTGAAATTGAAGGTGTTGAGTTCAATTTCCATGTGTAATATGGTGAATGCTCACTACTCCTGGTGACCGACTTGAGATTATGAAAACGTCAATATCTGGAGGAAAGCACTGGATACAGGATGCAGCTGGACAATCTAGACTTCGCAGATGATCTGACACTTTTATCGTACACTCAACAACAAATGTAGGAAAAGACGACCAGTGTACAGCAGCCTCAGCAGCAGTAGGTCTCAACATACATAAAGGGAAAAGCAAGACTCTCCAATACAACACAAAATGAACCAATCAAATTACACTTGAAGGAGAAGCTTTTACGATGTAAAATCCTTTACATATCTGGGCAGCATCATTGATGAACACGGTGGATCTGATACAGATATAAAAGCGCTAATCGGTGAAGCAAGAGAAGCATATCTACAATTGAAAAACATCTGGAAATCAAAACAACTATCTGTCAACCAACACCAAAGTTAGAATTTTCAATACAAATGCCAAGATAGTTCTACTGTATGGGGCGGAAACTTGGAGAACTATGAAAGTCAATATCCACAACATAAAAGTGCTTATTCACAGTTGTCTACACAAAACACTTTGGATCTATTGGCTAGACACTACACTATCAGCAAGAACCTATTGTGGGAGAGAACTAACCACATTCCAGTGGAGGAACAATCGCTGGAAGCGGATAGGACACACATTGAGGAAAGCACATAACTACGTCACGAGGCAAGTTCTCATCACTTGGAATCTTCAAGGCCAGAGGGGGAAATGAACACATTCCACCGAGAAATGGATACAGATATGAGAAGAATGAACAACCGTTGGATAGGATTAGAAAGGAAGGCGGAGCACAAAGTAGGTTTGAGAATGCTGATCAACGGTCTATCCTCCATTGAAAATAACAGACATAAGTAAGTAAGTCACTTCTGAGAAGTCTTTTACTAATATGAAATGTTTATCTAATAGTTTCAGATTAACAATGATTCTTTAACATTGTTCATTATATAATTTCAATAAAATTTAACTATTATAATGAAATGTAAATTATTAATTCAGTACAGATATTTACCTTGACTTGACCTCTTAATAAAACTATTTCATTTTGATTAATATTCTGTATAGATTGATTAGTTAATGTTGTTCCTGTTCCTGCACCTGTTGTTGTTGTTGTCGTCGTCGTCGTCATCGTCGTCGCTGTCGCTGTCGCTGTCACCGTTGTTGTTTTAATGAATTGTGATAATTTTATATTATTATCATTTATGATTGAATATTGATTATTTTGTTCAATAATTAATGCATCAAGATGAGCACGTAATGCACGTTCAGCAACAGCACGACTATCTAATGTTAAACGATTAGCACGTAATTCTTTTTCAAGTAAATAAACACGAATTTTAAGATCAGCACATTCTTCTTTAATACAACATAATTCCTTTAAACAAAAAGATAATAATAAACAAATTAATCAATATTATTTTATTATAAATAATGTGTATCCGACCGTTGTTGCTACCTCGATGTGGTAATCGGGCTTACCTATCGTGATGAAGCAACTGAGATATACTGGATGGAATAATTGTTCTCCAAGGTCTTACCATGCTAGACAAGTCAGCTGAAAAGAGATTGAAAGCCCTGGGTTCGAATCCCGCGAGCAGGATCGTGGGTGCGCACTGCTGAAGAGTCCCATACTAGGACGAAACGGGCGTCCAGTGCTTCCAGGTTTCTAACGGTGGTCTAAACTCAGTCGATTCATGATCTCAACCAATAAAAGTGATAAGACTAAAAGCAACAAATCCACAGTTCGAAGACGAAGTCGTACTACTGACTGTACAGAGGTGTGATGGTGGTAAGATGTTTTCCTTAGACAGCCAGCATAACAGCGATAAAGTCTTCCAACAAAGGGAGAATGAGGTTAGAGTAGGTGGACTCTAATAATGCATATATCGCCTTATCCCACGGATATCCGTCTCCGGAGGAAAACTACTCACAAAAAGGTTATGTGTGACCGACCTCAAGCACTTGTCTCTTGGGCAGTGAGGTCACACTCTCAGATCACTAAGACCACCCCGAACCCAATTTCTTTTTCAGGTACCTCGACAAGAACCCTTCCACGATGTGGACAACCAGAAAGTGATAACTGCCTTCATACCTCTAAAAGCACTCAAGATCGCAAACTGACTGATATAATGGGTTTATTACTTGTATGCAATCTAGAATATCCTCAGTAATGTGGTCTTATCTGTTTGTTCATTATGTAAGAAACAAATTCTTGTAAAAGTCGACGGTTATATGTTGTTTTTAAAAATTAGCATTCAATATTAATCTCACTGTAAATCTAATTTGAATGTTACTAATGTGTTGCATGCTACTGATGTCAACAGATATAAGTAGCATGTATTCACCAATCGAAAATAAAATGTCTGGAGGTAGAAGGTTAAGATGATCATAGAAAAGAGAACGAGAACATAGAATGATCGGTGTGGAAATGAAGGAACAAAGAAGTCTCAGACGATTGATTGACATATTGCAAGTGAAGTATTCAATGTCAAGTTCTCAGATTTGACTAAGAGATTCCGTAATTTTGTAATCAAATACATTCGATTGTCCCCACTGGTCTTCTCCTTCACTACACTACCACCATAACTAATGATTTTTTCGGATTGATTTTTTTGTTTTAGTCAGTAAGAGGTTGTGGAGATTGTTGATTTTCATTGAAATCATGAATTGATCAATGCTAGACCATCATTCGAAACCTGGAAGCACTGGATAGTCATTTCGTATTAGTACGGGACTTCTTAGAAGTGAGCATCCACCATGCCACTCATGGAAATTGAACTCAAAACCTTAGGTTTCGCGTGCGAATGTCTAATTTTTAGATCACTGATCCGGGATCCAACAGTGTTTGTATTTAACTTCAACCAATCGACAGTATCGCGCGACCATCTTCTTTTGTCTTCGTTGGGCAACTACTTCACACTTGACATTGTTTAACCTTCTACCTCTAAGCATTTCACTTTCGATTGATGATGATGATGTGTGTGTGTGTTTTCGAAACATTTCAGCACAAATCAGTATCTCACAGTTTATGACTAGTTATTGTTTACTTTAAATTTATTAAACTGGTACAAAGGTACAATACAATGTCAGTTATAAATAAATAGTTATACAAGAGAAGGGTTTTGTGAATATTGTAATAATTTAATAGTTGAATTCATAAATCAATTGAAGTTAGACCACCATGGAGAACCTGGAAGCACTGAACAGCTGTTTCGTGGATGGTGGCGCAATTTTATAAATCAGTTGAAGTTAACTATTAACACTGTTAGATGCCAGCAATTTCGATGGTCTAGAAGTTACGAGTTCTATTGTGAAACAATGACTACTGGAGTTCAACTGGGTTTGTTATGAAATAGTAACTCACTGAAGACAATGTTGAATGTGTTGCTGAATTTCGTGGATTAATCGACATTAGACATTAACATCGTTAGACTCCAGAAAGTTCATTGGTTTAAAGGTTAAGTATTCGCATACGAGATTAATATATCATGGGTTCGAATTTCACAAGGTGGGATCGTCTATGTGCACTGCTAAAGAATTTCATACTAGGACGAAACGACCTTTCAGTACTTCCATGATGATCTAGCTTCAATGGACTCATCAATTCAACTATTAAAGTTTAGAAATAACCAAATTTTTTTTCTCAGAATCAACCAAAGATATCAAATACATTTAAAACGATAAATGATTGCTAGAAATGAGAAAACAAAATCAAACAAACCAACAAAACAATACATACTACTTACTTGTAATAGAACGGAATTTTCCAAAAATACAGCCAATGGTAATTTACGTAATGAATTCATTGAAATCGACTATTTGAGGACAATGGTAATACGAGGGGGGGAGAGGGAAAGAGAGAGAAAGGAGAAAAGTATAGTGAAACAGCATTTAAGAAAAAAGGGAAATATAGACAAAAAATCAATAAAAGGGAACAAGTATAAAATCGATTTTTTTGAAAGTAAAAAAACAAAAAAAAAACAGATAAAAAGATAATCTGTTTATGATAATCACTAGGGTAATGGATTATTATTGTAAATTGATTCATCAATAAATGATAGTAATAATCAAAATCATATTATATCTGATCTATTGGATCAATCATATTTATCAATAGATGTCTACGCAAGATACTCAACATCCATTGGCTGGATACCATCAGCAACAGCCTATTGTGGGAGAGAACAAACCAACTTCCAGCTGAAGGGGAAATTAGGGAAAGGCGATGGAAATGGATAGGACATACATTACTCAAATCATCAAACTGCATCTCGAGACAAGCGCCAACTTGGAATTCTGAAGGGAAGCGGAAGGAGGAAGGCCAAAGAACACATTACGTCGGGAAATAGAAGCGGATATGAAAAGAATGAATAACAACTGCAAAGAGCTGGAAAGGATTGCCAAGGACAGAGTTGGATGGAGAATGCTGGTAAGCGGCCTATGCTTCTTCACGAAGAGTAACAGGCGAAAGTAAGTAAGTAAGTATTGGATCAATCAAGAATAAAGTAGAATCTGGTACATATAATGCACTAGTCATATGATCAAGTACATTTAATTGTTGAGATCATGAATCAATTGAAGTTAGACCATTATGGAGAACCTGGAAGCACGGAACGGCTGTTTCGTCCTATTGTAAAACTCGTCAACAGTGTGCATCCATGATCCCGAACTCATGAGATTTGAACTCAGGATCTATTGGTCTCGGGTACGAACACTTAATCTCTAGACCATTGCATTCGCCGGTATTCAACAGTGTTAATGTCTAACTTCAAATATTTTTAATCTACTTATATCTTCTACTTTCATAGAACATACTTCATAGTTAAAGAGTAACATAATGAGGATTGATGAGTAGTATACTAACTAATCCTCTTGGTTAACAGATGAATATTTCGAAGATGTTATAGATAATGAAAGAAGTTAACAAGAAATCAAGTGACCATACTGAATCTATGTCAAGATTTATTTAGACATCAATTCATTAAGACTGATGAGAAGTAAAAGATAAGTAAAGTAAACTACTTAATCAACAATGTCAAAATCTATGTCAATCTAGGCAATGATGTACGGAAATCCTGAAGCAACATGTTTAATTTAGTGGGAGGAAAACTCGTCTTCAACATATTTGTATTAATCACCAAAGCGTTCAGTAGACACTGAATTTTGTCAGAATATATATCAAATAAGACTGTATCATCTGTGATAAGTGATCTTTTATGAAGAGGATCAAATCATGAAAAGTTAGATGAATAATCTGTAACTTTTAAGATTATATCTATGACGATATCAAGTAGAAATGTAGATAATAGGCAACTCTGACTAACACTGATTGAAGGTGACAATTCCGAAAATAGTTTGCCATAATCTCTAACTTGACTTTTAGTGTTTTCAGTGGTCTTGAGTGCTGTTAGGGGTTGTCCATATCGTGAGACGGTTCTTCTCGAGGTACCTGAAAGAGAAATTAGGTTGGAGCGTGCCTTAGTGACCTAAGAGCGTGACCAAGTGCTCAAAGGACAACTGATTAAGGTCGGTCACATATGACCATTTTGTGAGTAATTTATGTGTTAGCTCCATACTTGTTGAGACCTTACCGCCGAAGACAGATATTCGTGGGATAAGGCGAGGTGTGCATTTAAGGATCAACCTCTTCTAACCCCACCCCTCCTTGTAGGAAGACAACATCGCTGTTATGCTGGTTGTCTGAAGGAAACATCTTACCACCATCACACCTCTGTACAGTCAGTAGTACGACTTTGCCTTCGGACCTTGAGTTTGTTGCTTTTAGTCTTACCGCTCTTCAACCGACCTGTCTGGCATGGTAAGACCTTGTGGAACGAATGTTCCATGCAGTATAGCTCAGTTGCTTCATCACGATAGACAAGCCCGATCACCACGTCAAGGTAACAGCAACGGTTAGGTTTTAGTGTTTTAGTTATTAAACACATAAAATTCGAGACCATAATGCATTATATATATTAATGATTTATCTTTTTAACACGTTACAAAAACCGGTATGTGTGGGTGGACATTTCATAATTGAATAATGGTTTTTTTCTTCGAAGAATTCAATGCCATTGTGATTACTCAAAATATTATACCATAGTGTAAGCTATATGGCTATGTAGAGTTGAAGGTCTCATATGAGGCTGTATTGTGGTTGGTTCGGCATTGCTTTGGCAAGTTTTGCTGACTGTTCATGCACAAAATTGGTTTGCTGGTTAACTGATTTCATTCGTACTGGTGGTTGCTTTTCAGTGTTCTCAAGGGCCATTGTCATTGGGACATTGTAAGGCATGTCGCCATTGCTAACATTAATGAGTTTGACTGTCATGTAAGCGGAATAGGTCAACTTTGGCCTGTTCGTGCTGTGCACAATTGATTCACGCGATCATTGGTCGGAATAACCATACATATGATTTGAATGTGTATATGAATGGTGCAAATGGTCCACCAGGGTGCTTGATACCTGAGTGGTTGCACCACAGGACTAAGATGTACTATTCAGATTGTAGCGTTAAAGCCTATACGGTGTCTGGTTCCTTTGTGAAGCGGGATTGAGCTGCACTGCTCGGTTTAAAAAATGTAAGCCTCGGCGGTGTTTGCATCTCCTGTTAAACTGGATTGAGCTGTACTGTTCGGGTTGTCACGTGAAAGTCTGGATGGTGTCTGGTTCTCCTGAAAACCAATGTAAAATTACACTGGCCCACAAGGGTATATTATATATATTATATAACTAATGTCTGATTGCGCATGATAGTTTATTATTGATATAAACTCCACAAATATCTACTGTACTCTAGCTAGTCTGAAATAATAGTATCCATGGTCACATAATATTAATAAAAAGTGTAACTAAAATAGAAAGGGTTTGTATATCAACTAACATTTGCATTAAAAACTATAATAACTTCGTGGATAACGCGATAGCATTTAAAGCGAACGGTACTGGGTTCGAGTCTCAGAGTGATCATCAACTCTGAGATGCAGATACATCCAGCTGACGAGTTCCAAATAGGACGAAACGCGCGTCAAACTAGATTCCACTACTAGTTACTATCCAACTATGATTATAAAAACATACTAAATTCATGAAATGGAATTATTCCTATCTGTCACTTATGATGAGCTGAAAACAAGTTTTGGTCAATTATTTTTTTTCAATTAAAGTATCCTTTCATTGATATAATCAAACTTTATCAGCTAAATACAAGAGAATATATTGGTTAATTATGCTGTTGTCGATTATGTTCAGAAATCAAGTGAAAAGCATTGGGTTCGAGCCCTGTTGTTGACATTAACACCGGATGCCCCCAAATGCCCTGGTACGGCCAATAGTGGGGAGAGTCAGCCCTTCCTCTCCAAATACTCTCATATGGCCACGTGTATACAATCACTGACAGGGAACCCCTACTCACTGCCTTCTCGCATCACCGGTCTTGTTGGTCGATACGGAAAGCTCATCTAGGGGAGTTGAAAAACTCTGATTCCAAACTAATGGTGAACATGGGCTCCAGGAATCTGAAGAAAAAAGTGGAGTATGAACCTAATGTCGGTCATCGGCTACCATGGGACGGCATTTCCTGACGTTCCTCCACTGACTTGTGGATCAGACGTTCAGGTCGAAGGCTCCGGGTGTGGCCCCCTAAGAAAACCACTTGCTTCGGTTTGGGCACCCAAGCAGTATTACAGCCCACACACAAATTAAGTGACATGTGTGGCACATATGTTTTCGGTGCCCCTTTTTATCAATATTTATGTGCTCAATCAATTAATAGTCCAGAGTGAAACGAGTCTTAGATATTAATACTAGCCATAAATGATCAATTCTGTAAAACATGTTGAATTATTATTTGGATAGAGAATTGAGATTTTATTCAGTTTGAAGTAAGTTTATTTCATAAACCAACTTCGATTGAAGAAAACATTAAAACTATTCAACAATAATCATTCACAGATGTTCCAGTTGGAAACTATATTCTGGTGAAATCCTACTCATTACTTTCAAGCTAAGATATATTTTCGAAACTAAATGGATGAAAAGTAAGCTTTCAGTTCTGATACTTCATTAATGAATACAAAGGAACGAATTAGAAGAATTAGAAAACTCTAGTTCCAAACTATTGTTGTAGTACAGAACTCCACGACCCTAAAGAAATGGGTGATGTACAAATCTGTTTAAGTTACCAGCTATCATTTCACTGTCTTGTGGATTAGAACTTTAGAGAATTTCACCTAAATTATCTTATTTTATTTTGACACATAGATATTGGTACAAGGAGGTACCAAATACATATGCGCCACACAGATCTCATTTGATATGTGTGAGGGCTATGATACTGCCCGTGTGCCGAAACCGAACTAGGTGGTTATCTTAGGGGGCCATATCCGGAGCCTTCAACCTAAAGGTTTGATCCACAAGGCAGTGGAGCATCGTAAGTAGGTGCAGTCCCATGGTTGCCAGTGACCAACATTATGTTTATACGCCATTTGTTCCCTCAGGCAGGATACTGGAGCCCATGTGCACCATTAGTTTGGGATCCGGTTAAAGCTCCGGACATTCGCTTTTCGTCCTCTCATTTTCGTAAATAACACCCCCGCCACGAGGAGGCAGTGAGTAGGACTTTCCTGGCAGAGGCTATATACGCGTGGCCATGTGAGGGCATTTCAAAAGAAAGAGCGGACTCTCTCCACTCTCGGCCGTACCAGGGAATTTCACCTAAAAAAATACCCATTTGCTTCATCCTGAGAGTCCGGGATGTATCATAGTCTATACCTATATAGGAGGATAAAACTGTTGTCATGTACTAACATCAGTTTACAAATTTCTTTGCATAGAAAAGGGCATTGGTTTAAAGCATTTAATAGTTGAAATCACAAGACAATTGAAGCTAGACTACCATGGAAAACTTGGAAGCACTGGACGGCCGTTTTGTCCTAGTATGGAACTCCTCAGCAGTGCGCATCCACGATCCCGCCCCCCACGAGATTCAAACCCAGGATCTATCATGGTGATCTTGCTTCATATGACTCATGATATCGACTATTTAAATTTCTAAAAATCTCCATAAAACCCGTTCTGATAATAATCATTTGCTCACTAGTAACTGATTTCAAGTGGTATTTCCTGGAGTTCTAGTAAGAAGCTGTTACCAGTGGAGTTCAACCAGGTCCGTTGTGAGATATCAGCTCACTGAAGACGATGGTGTACAGTGGATTGATTGAAGTTAGACATTAACACTGTTAGATGCCGGCCGGCTCAGTGGTCTAATTGTTAAGTGCTCTCGTGTGAGACTGATAGGTTTTGGGTTCGAATCTCGCAGGGGCGGTGGGATCGTGTACTTCCAAGGTTTTTCATGGTGGTCTAACTTCAATTGATTTATGATTTCAACGATTGAAATTACTTCCTTTTTTGTTAACCAACCGATAGTTTGTGTTATTTTTCTGATTACATTCACTCTTCTTTTTTATTGTTTACCCACACATACACATATTTCATAAATCAGTTTGATAAATACAAACAACCTTGACCTAAAGTGATGTCAGACCTATTTGTTTATGATTCATACACTTGTTGATAAAGGTTAAGAATATATAAAAAATAGAATAGATCCTTAATGTATATTTTCATTACTAATATGTAGTACACTATATTCACTAATGGTAATATTATTAGTAGTATAGGAAAAGAACTAATAATCATGTTGCTACCAGCTTCATTTACATATGTTATTGTATGTATATTATATATGTAAAGATGAAAATAGTTGAAATACATAACACTTAGTAATAGGGATTAGAAACTAAGAATAGAATAAAGAAAACCACCTGCTGTTTATTCAATTGTTATAAGTATAGACTTGTATTGTGTACTAGTGTATGATATGTATCTATGTATATTCCCATATGACTGTAACCACCTGCTCCCTATGTATGTAAACCTATTTAATACAATCAATAGTAATCTATAGTTGTTTATTCATTATTTATGATATAATGTATATTGTGTAAAGTTAGATAAGGAATAATTCAAAGCGCCAAAATGATTTGTTATGTATACATGAAGTTATTACCTTTGATAATAGTCAATGAATATTAAAAAGAAACGATAATCGAATTCAGTTTCTATGCTGTTGTAACAATGTTGTAACAATTGCATTCATAATGTTGATACTACCTTGATATGGTGGTAAGGCTTGTCTACCGTGATGAAGCAACTGAGTAATACTGCATGGAACATTCATTCCACAAGGTCCTACCATGTTAGACAGGTCGGTTGAGGAGCGGTAAGACTAAAAGCAACACACTCAAGGGCCGAAGACAAAGTCGTACTGTTGACTGTACAGAGGTATGATGGTGGTATGATGTTTCCTTTAGCCAGATTAGTGTTGGTCTTAAAGACCTGGGAGCGTAACCGCAGAGCCCAAGAGACAACTGCTTGAGGCCGGTCTCGCACGGCCTTTTTGTGGGAGGTTTTTAATGTATTAGCTCCGTTCTTTAAAGGGCCTTACCGCCGGAGACGGAAATCCGTGGGGTAAGGTGAGCTGTGCCATTTTTAGGGTTAGCCTTTTCTAACCCCTTCCTTCCTTGTGAGAAGGCAGCATCGCTGCAGATGCTGGTTGTCCGAGGGAAACAACTTACTGCTGTCACACCTCTGTACAGTCAGCAGTACGACTTCGCCCTCAGACCTTGAGTTGCTACTTTTAGTCTTACCGTTCTCCAATCGACCTGCCTGGCATAGTAGAACCAACAGGAGCATATGTTCCAGGCAATATAGCTCGGTTGGGTCATCACGATAAGCAAGCCCGACGACCACGTCAAGGTAACAGCTACAGTCGGGTTCCTTCAGCCAACCAGCATAACAGCGATGTTGTCTTCCTACAAGAAGGGGTGGGGTTAGAAAAAGTCAACCCTAAAAATACACACTTCACCTTATCCCACAGATATCCGTCTCCGACGGAAAGGTCTCAACAAATATGAAACTAACACGAAAACTACTCACAAAAAGTCGTGTGTAACCGATCTCAAGCAGTTGACCCTTGGACACTGCGGTCACGCTCTCAGGTCACTAAGACCATCTCTAATCCAATTTTTCCTTCAGGTACCTCCAGAAGAACCCTTCGACGGTGTTAGTAATCGGGAAGTGATAACCGCCTTCATATCTGTAACAGCACCCAAGACCACTGTATAGGTACACAGTTTACATAGAATCATTTTATAATCATGCACCTTTAATTTATACTCTATATTAGACATAAGATGATGAATCGGTTGAAGTTAGACATTAACACCGTTGGACATCGGATCAGTGGTTCAGAGGTTAAGAATTTGCTCGTGTAGCCAAAGGTCCTGGGTTCGAGTCCCCTTAGTGCGAGGTAGTAGATGTGCACTGCTAAAAAGTCCTATACTAGGATGAAACGACCGTTCAGTGCTCACAGATTTTCGAAAGTGGTCTAGCTTAGATCGACTGACGAATTTGGCTATTAAAATTACAAGAAAAAAAACGTTGAGAATGCGGGAGAACTGGACAATAGTATCGCCATAAAATGAAAATCCAGAGTGGTGTGTTAAATACGATGGCTCTATTTTCAAATACTAGGTCATAGGTTCAAGTCCCTTTCCATCTAATTCATTTTTAAGGGGCTAGTATTATCAAAAACCACCATATAAACAATGTGTTAGAAAATTAAGTGCGTAAATTTGTACTTGGTAAATGGGTACTGTAAATAAATGATTATTCCTATCCAAAATTTGAACTCAGGACTTACAGGCCTCACATAAATCGCGTTACCTTTAAACCACTAAGTTAGTATCCAATGGTCTGCACTTCTAAATTTCTAGTTGATTCGTGAGATTATGCAATCATCATTTATTCCTTAAAGAGCCGCCAAAAGTCCTGGTACGGCCGAGGGTGAGGAGAGTTTGAACACATAATTATTGGTAACAAGGGGCACCGAATACATATGCACCACATAAGTCAGTTGATTTATATATGGGCCGTGATACTGACCGGGTGCCCAAAACAAGGCGGGTGATTTTCTTAGAGGGTCACACCCCAAGCCTCCAACCTAAAGGTCTGATCCACAAAGGAGGAACGTCAGGAAATGAAGTCCTATGGTAGCCGGTGACCAACATTAGGTTCACACGCCAATTGTTTCTTCAGGATCCTGGAGCCCATGTTCACCATTAGTTTGGAATCAGGGTTTTTCAACCTCCCTAGATAGACTCGTCGTGTCTAACAACCCGGTTAAAGCACCGGATATTTGCTTTCCATCCTCTCAATTTCGTAAACAACACCGGTGATGCGAGAAGGCAGTGAGTAGAAGTTCCCTGTCTATAGCTGTATACGTATGGGCATATGAGAGTATTTCTAAAGGGGTTGGTTGTGAGATAGTAACTCACTGAGGACAATAATAGATGTGTCGCTCAATTTCATGGATTAGTTGAAATTAGGCATTAACACAGTTCGATGTCGGCCGACTCAGTGGTTTAGAGGTTAAGCATTCATACGCGTGACCGATAGGTACTGGGTTCGAATCTTGCTGGGGGAGGGGCGAGATCATGGATCAATTTATTTATTTTTTTTATTCACTTACATTGTTTTGATCTAAATGAATTGGTTGTTGTATTGAACTAACTGATGATATATTTTGATCATAATTAATAACATCATTTGTAGGTTTTGTCCTGTCTCCAATTTCATTTGTATCATTTGGTATAACCGATTGATATGTATTAGGTATATCAATTAACATAGATTGTAAACGTTTATATGTATGAATTAATTGATAATAAATTATACGTAATTTACGTTCTTCTAATCTAGACCAATTAGATAATTGTTGGGATGAGGATGATGAAATAAGAGGTAGTTGAGGCATTAATTGACCATTTATACTACTATTACTATTATGTTGTTGTTGTTGATGATGATGATGCGGAGGAACAGGAGGAACAGGAGGAGGAGGAGGACCATGATGATGATGATGATGAGGATGAGTAATATGTTTTGATAAATCAGTAGTTTTATGAATATTTCCTGGTAGATCAGATGAATCTGATGAATCTATATCTGATTCATATAAAGATGTTGATGTTTTAGTAAATAATGTCCATAATGGTGGAAGATTATCTAATAATGTATTGAACATAAATAAATCTGATTGATGATTTACTTTATTCATAGTATTAGTTTGATTTACATCACCATAAGTTTGATAATAATGTCCAAACAATAATGAAGAAGTTGAAGAAGATAAAAATAATGATGATGATGGATTCAATAAATAACCTGATTGTTGTCGTTGATGTTGATGATGGTGGTGGTGGTGTTGTTGTTGTTGTTGATGATGATGATGATGATGATGATGTTGTGATGAGATTTCATTAATACTACTACTTCCAGCACCTGAATCTGGAGTTTCCCAACCATAACCATCACCATTTTCATTTATATTATGATTTGTATTTCCTTGTGAATTTAATTTCATAAATGAACGTAAATGAGGATTATTTAATCGTATATTATTATTATTATTATTATTATATTGTCGTTGTGAATAAGTTACTGATGGAATAGAACCAATTGTTGAATTCAATGTTATTGAAGGTAATGGTTGTAATGATTGATTAGTATTGATCAATGATTGTTGTAAATGTAATTGTTCATTTATTTCATTTGATAAACATTGTAAAGGATTTAATTTATTACGATTTAAACTAACATACCATGAATTGGCATAAACACTATTACTATGACTATTATTATTATTATTATTATCTAATAAACTATTTGATGATGTAATCACAGATTGTATAGAACAAAGACCAGGACTTATAGGGGATTGAATATGTTGATAATTATGTAATTGTGATAAATTAGTACCATTTACAATAGGTATAGTACTATTATTACTTGATGTTGTTGTCATATGGATATTTGTTAAATTAGATAATGATGTTGGTAGAATTTTTTCATAACCACCATCTGATGTTTCATATTTATCTAATATTGTATAAGCTTGATATTCAACTTGTTGTCTAAGAAAAAAAAAAGAGATAATTACAAATAGAAATGATAAAAAAAAAACGAGAAAAACAAAAATAAAAAAAAGAAGGAAGTTTATAGTTGAGAAGATGTGGTAAAGATTTAATTTTATGCGGAGATTATGATTTATGAACGAGCCAATCAGAAGTGTTCTAGAGAGTTCAAGGTCATGGCGCCGATTTCAGTACCTGATACTCATGTACAATTGGTTCATAGAGGATTTTTAGACAAAACGTGGAACTGTTATGAAGTTCCTTTGTGGAGACTCTAAATTACAGATGATCTTTGAACGAATCTCAAGTAACCTTGAGAAATATTAGCCAATCAGAAAACAGTAAGTATAGAGTAACAATATATCATACGAAACCATAGAATTATAGTGAATACACTTCTTTTACATGGTTTAAAAAACTTATCAAGGTTAGAAAGAAGTTCAGGGATCCTAAAATCGTAATTTATGCAGTAGAGGAAATCATACAAATAGCTAAAGAATAGTCGGTCTCTGGAGCCATGATAGAGTTTCAAAAACTCTTTCAGCCTAGACCACATGGTTTCAATATTGTATGTGCACTCCGGTTGCTGAGTTTACAAAATGCTACTTGTGGACAACAACACGATGCACATAACCAGGCCTATGTAGGGGTCTGCAGAATACATGTACTCTCTCCAATCATCCGTACGTATTGTAGTACCTGGCTGCAGCCAATGTTACTGGTGGTTTTACTATCCAGTACGCAATCATACTTGGCCTTAGTTAGGAATTATATATGTGGTTTTCATTACGAACTGACATAAGCCATAATGTCAAAAATTTATTTAACCACATGGATGAAAGACTTTCGCATCAAAACCCGAGATCTGTTAACCTATACTTGATTGATTCGTCCACAAATTATAGTCTCGCCGTTTTATTTGTTATAGCCGCTCAATTATCACGTTTTGTACAAAATCCCCTGTAAACCAATCGTACGTTAGCATTAAGCACTGAATTTGGCACCGTAACCTTGAAATCTCTAAAACGCTCCTGATTAGCTCGTCCATAAATTAGAGTCTCGTCGTTCCTTTATTTTGCAGACAACTATGGTGACGTTGTCTTTCGATGTAATATGTTTTTGGAGGAAGAAGTCTGTTAGAATAAGAGTTTTTCGCATGACCCAGATTAAGTCAAATTATGACAATTGTTTGATGATAATAAAAGCACCAGTAACACTGGTTGTAGCTGGGTACTACAATATATACGGATGATTTGGAGAGAGTAAAGTTCCTTATATAGACTTGGTTATGTGCATCGTGTCTTTATCCAGAAGCGGCACTTTGTGGACCCAACAACCGAAGTGCACACAAACAATATTGAAGTTATGTGATCGAGGCTGAAAGAGTTTTTGCGATCTTATCATAGCTCCAGAGGTCAACTAACATGGAGTCCTTCTACCGTAAGTTTTAGACCATGTAAAACAAGTGTATTCACTTTAATTCTTTGGTTTTGTATAATATACTTTATACTCTATACTGTTTTCTGATTGGCTAATATTTCTTAAGGTCACTTAAGATTCGTTCAAAGGTCGTCTATAAATTATAACCTCGCCGTATCTGCCACAGACCGATCTCGTTTGAAATATCATTGAAAATCAGAAATGCCTGAACAGCTGTTTTATCCTAATATGAAACTCTTCATAAGTGTTTCAATGAAAACACTATCACAGGTCAGATCCTAATTTTTAATGATATTTCAGTAGAAATCAATCTATGATGAATATAATCTATAAAGAAAGATTAAGTGTACAATGTTTACAAAATTTCCTGATATACGCGAAAATTTTGATATGTCTTCTGGATTGAACGCTACTTGCTGCATCTGATCGTCGCTGATTGTTATGTCGGAGACACTTATCATTTATATTCCATGACGCGAAAGTAAGAAGATAAAGACTGGTATAACTGATGATTTATTAACCCTCAAAATACGACAATGACGATGACCCTAGTCGAAAATACATTTATTTATAAATTTATATCAACAAATTAATTGATATAACTTTTTCTTTCAATGTATCAATCAGTTCGTCGAATTCAATTATAAACAAAGTAGATTGTGGTATAATATGTGTTAGCTTAAATTCACATACCATATTAACATAATGAAATGAATAATTATAGGTTCACTAAAACATATCCAATCATTGATCATTATAATCAATTGGAAGCCAATCAATTATTTTATATCTAATAATCATATTTGAAACTCCGCCTGGAGCCCCTCTGGGGCTGGATAAAGAAGGAGGTATAGGCATGGAGTTAGCGACCCCGTCCCGTAGAAAACTAACTCTCTAAAGAAACGCTAACCAGTAACCATATTCAAACAAATTGTCAATAAATTTATGGACTGATATCAAGTTTTAGTTTTTGATTGAGATCATGAACCGATTGATGTTAGGTCACCACTGAAAATCTGGGAGCACTAGACGGCCGTTTTGTCCTATTGTGGGACTCCTCAGCAGTGCATATCGGCGCAATTTCATGGATTGGTTGAGGTTAGACATTAACACCATTGGATGCCGGCTCAGTGGTCCAGTAGGTTAAGCGTTCGCGTGCGAGACTAAAATCCCTGGGTTCGACTCCCGCGAGCGGGACCTCGAATGCGCACGGCTGAGAAGTCCCACAATAGAACGAAATGGCCGTCCAGTGCTCCCAGGTTCTCAATGGTGGTCCAACATCAATCGGTTCATGATCTCAATCAAAAACTTAATCTCCACAACCCCCATACTTATAAGTTTTAGTTTATCAGAACTTCACTTTTTTCTAATCTACTACTATACCATTAAAACCTGTCTCAACTCAATTAGTAGATCAATATTTTCGCGAAATTCAAGTTTGAAGTAAATGATTGATATATTGCAAATGAAGTATTTACTGTATATGGTTCTAGCCCTCAAATGCCCTGGTATGGCCGAGAGTGGGGTGGGTCCGCTCTCCTTCTAGAAATGCTCTCACACGGCCAAGCGTATACAGCCTCTGCCAGGGAAGTCCTACTCACTGCCTTCTCACACCACGGATGTTGTTTACGAAATTGAGAGGACGAAAAGCGAATATCCGGCGCTTTAACCGGATTTCAAACCAATGGTGCACATGGGCTCCAGTATCCTGCGGGAACAAATGGCGTATGAACCAATCGTTGGTCACTGGCTACTATGGGACTGCACCTACTTACGATGCTCCACTGCCTTGTGAATCAGACGTTCAGGTCAAAGGCTCGAGGTGTGGCCCTCTAAGAAAACCACCTGCTTCGGTCTGGGCACCCGGTCAGTATCACAGACCACACACATATCAAATGAGATCTGTGTGGCGCATATGTATTTGGTGCCTCCTTGTACCAATATCTATGTGTTCACTACACTATGAGACTGTAATCTGAGAATCGTATCAATAGAGATTTTAATCAAATCAATTAGTTTGATAGTATAGATGTACGTTTTGATTAAATGATAATCATAATGAATAGTTCGAGACACTGTTTAACATTGGTCAGAATCAATCATAACAAGTTAGATGAATTCATCTATCTATTTGCCAATTTCTACAATATGAAACATTCAATAAATGATGTACTATTCAATGTAAACGTAACTATAATGAGTTACTAGAGAATTAACCTTGAACAGTGGAAAAATATAGTAAATTTTTGATGGAGTTTTGTTCTCTGAACTGGATGATCAGAGAACAAAAAGGAAGACTCTCCTATACAACACAATATGCACCAATCGAATCACACCTGACGGTGAAGCTTTGGACGATGTAAAATCCTTTACATATCTGGGTAGCATCATCGATGAACATGGTGGATCTGATGATGTGAAGGTGCGGATCGGCAAAGCAAAAGTATCATATATACGACTGAAGAACATCACGAACTCAAAACAACAGTCTGTCAATCAACATCAAAGTCAGAAGTTTCAATACAAATGTCAAGACAGTTTTACTGTATGGGGAGGAAACCTGGAGAACTACGAAAGCCATCATCCACAACCTACAAGTATTTATTCACAGTTTTCTACGCAAAACACTTTGGATCCGTTGGACAGACACTACACTATCAGCAACAACCTGTTGTGGGAGTGAACAAATCAAATTCCAGTGGAGGAAGTAATCAGGAAAAAGTGCTGGAAGTGTATAGGACCCACATTGAGGAAAGCACCTAACTGAGTCACAAGACAAGCTCTCACTTGGACTTTTTAAGGCCAAACTAGGAGATGAAGACCAAAGAACATATTCCATCGAGAAATGGAGACAGATATGAGAAGAATGAACAACAGTTTGATAGAACTAGAAAGGAAGGAGGAGGACAGAGCAAGTTGGAATATGCTGGTCGGTGGCCTATGCTGCATTGGGAGTAACAGGCATAGATAAGTAAGTAAGCTGTATCGTATGTCAAACGGTCGCCTACCTTGAGGGGCAATGTTAGCTGATGTCAGACTAAGTTAGGAGAAATCTAGGGGCTACCAAAATAAAATATAATATCAATACATAAAGTTTATTACTGTTGTTTTGATTCACGCGATAATCAACAATCAACAGTTTCTAGACGTTGGATAATATTTCTCAGAATCGGTCTTATTTTCCCTGACATGTTCAGCGATTATCTTCCTCTAGATATTGAATTCCGATATTCTTTATTACATACTTTACCATTCAGTATTTTTAAACTATGCTCTGAATAATTCCCTTGATATTGTTTTACTTAAATCTTCCCATTGATGTTTAGCACTGCAATTGATCAGTCTCTTATTGGTATATGTGCATACTGTGCGTATTACTTCGATATTGCCTTAATTTATAAGCATTCTAAGCAAAGATGGATAGTGGCTAACAGGACTCAGAAGATAAGTGGATAACACGATGGCAGTTGAAGCAAAGTGTACTGGGTTCGAGTCCCAGAGTGAACACCGACTGTGAGATACAGGTATGTCATGCTGACGAGTCCCAATTAGGACGAAACGCGCGTCAAACTGGATTCCACTGCTAGCCACTATCCATCTTTGCTTATATACTCTCAATGTTTAATCTTTCTCACTATTGACGCTACTATGATTATTTCAGTTTCTTTGCTATTCATCTTTACATATATATATATATATATATATATATATATATATATATATATATATATATATATATATATATAGTGTAGAACTTCACCAAGAACAGAAATATAAACACTTACCTCAATAATTTCAAATTATGCAAATTGAAATGATTCATTGAAAAGATCTGTTGTTGTTGTTGTTGTTGTCCAACTCCAGAAGTTGTATTATTGATAGTCGTTACAACATTATTTAATAAATCATGTTCTTCTGAGGAACCAATTGAAGAATATAATTGATATGGTGATGTTGTAACAGAAATCTGTTGTGTATTATTATTATTATTATTGTATCTTTTCAATTGTTGAGGATGTTGTGATTGATGTAATTGTGATGATTTATTATGACCATGAAATGATGAAGATGATGTAGATGATGATATTGTTGAGAATGGATGCTTCATCAATTGATTATTTTGTGATTGACGAAATATAGTGACAGCTAATTCTGTGGAATATAACTGCATCAAATAATAGTAATAATAATAATAGTAAGTATTTAACACAAACAGATTTTTGGTTCAAAAAAAAAGAGTAAAGATTTATGAACAATCATATTATTAGTAGTTTGAAAGTTAATCATCTACTATAGGATATGAAAATCCTCGGTTCGACTACTGATGAGATCATGGATAACGACAGTTGAAGAATCTCATATAAAGACAAAACGGTTATACAAAAGCATTCTGATATTTTAAAGATTGTTTAACTATTGTAAATCTGTAATCAGTTAAGATGGCTAGGACATAGGTTATGTATGCTCAACCAATTACCGAATGCCCCGACGAACGATGTTTTATGGTGTAGGAGTAGGTTGGAAGAAAGCTAAGGGCGGCCAGACCAAAACATGGCACAAATCCATAAAGTCACTGACAAGTGGACTGAGCCATGTCGGTACGTGTAAACTACCTGGTTTAAATCCGTCAGACGATAGCAATTGACTATCTTAATCAATGGTTGTAACATGGCTCAAAATCGTTTGTAATGGTGTGTGCAGGTTGATCCACTCTTTGTGTTCTGCAAAACTCTAATCTTCTGAATTCTTCATGTCCTTTTTTTCCCTCTTTCCAAATCTACTCCAATGAATTATACTCCTTAAATAACATCATCAAACCTTAATGTTCCCGATTACTACTTATAATTTCACTACTTCTACCACTACGGGATTTGAATCGATAACTGAATCTCTGTGCTAATTTGATATGGCAACTCGAACTGATTTACGTACGTACGAAGTTCTACGTTGGAACTGACTGAGTTACTGAAATCTGTAATACAAACTACGAATCCCCTAAATGAATTATTATTATGTAGTTTCACAGAACTAGTTGATTTTAGTAAATCAATAATTGAAAATTAGAAAGCATTGGATAGATGTATTGAGCAAAACTATAATTTATGAACGAATCCATCAGGTTTAGAATAATAGGTCTAGGATTTTGGCTCGAAATCAGCTTGTGTATTTGGTTCAAAAGTGTTTAGAGATTTCAGCTGATGTCAGTTCGTGATGAAAACCCTAAATTGAATTCCTTACCCCTAAACCAACAACTGTAAATCATAATTCTAATTTCTCACACAGGTTTATAATTCACATTTAGTACTAGTTATTAAGTGAACATTCTCATGGTCAGTCTAGCGTCGCTTAAAGGTCGTCCATAAATTATAGTCTCATCATGTACTGATTATCAAAAGCTTGAATTCAATGTCTGAAATGAATTAGTTGTGATATGAATTCATCAATAAGAGATCACTGAACACTTGTTTCGGTATATGTTTCGGAGTTGTTCAAAATTTTACACCAACTAAACACTACATAAGATCGGATCTTCAATTGTCGATTCCCCATTACAGACAAGAAATACGACAACATTCACTCAATATTCGATTTATTATTTATTTATTTAAACATATAGATATTGGTACAAGGAGGTACCAAATATATATGCGCCACACAGATCTCATTTGATATGTGTGAGGACTGTGATACTGCCCAGGTGCCCAAATCGAGGCAGGTGGTTTTCTTAGGGGGTCACATCCGGAGCATTCAACCTAAAGGATTGATCCACAAGGCAGTGGAGCAATATCAGGAGATGCAGTCCCATAGTAGCCGGTGACCAATATTATGGTTTATGAACCATTTGTTCCTTCGGGTTCCTTCAGAGTTTTTCATATCCCCTAGATGGACTCTCCGTGTGCACCAACCCTGTTAAGGTGCAGGATATTCGCTTTTCGTCTTCTCAATTTCGTAAGCAACACCCATGGTGCGAGAAGGCAGTGAGTAGGACTTCCCTGTCAGTGTTTGTATGCACGTGGTCATGTGAAAGTATTTGGAGAGAGGGAGAGCTGACTTTCCTCATTCTCGGCTGTAGCGAAGCATTAGAGGGTCATCAATGTTCAATAATTGTCAAGTTAAAAGGCTAAAAGATAACTGTATAGGTTGAAATTCATGTTTGTTTATCTGTACTTGTGGTTAAAATATCACCACTAAGCTGATGATTTAATTGGTTTATAGAAATCGTTGAATTTTGTAAGATTGAATTATTGACTAACTGTAGTCAAACAATCAACATACTTGGTTACTAGTAACTAATTTTGAGAGATGACTATCAGAATTCTAGTGAGAAGTCATGATTATAAGCGGTCAAACATGTTAGATGTTGAACAAATATCGTCAATGTCCATGGATAAAGAGGGTATAATTCTGCGAAGTTAATAATACAAAACTACTGGATGAAAACTCGGTAATCTAAGGGTCGAATGCTCACTACTAGAGTCCTGATAGCTTAAATTTTAATCCATGGTAGGATCACGAATTAGCCTCTATTGAAAAACAATGTAATTCTATATACGTATGTAATTATACATTAGAACATTCTTTCATCAGAAGCTGATTTCAACTAAAGAATGGTTCTCGATTGAGATCATGAACCGACTGATGTTAGACCACCGTTGGAAACCTGGAAGCACTGGATGGCCGTTTCGTCCTAGTATGGGACTACTCAGCAGTGCGCATCCACGATCCCGCTCGCGGGATTCGAACCCGGGGCCTTCGGTCTCGCGCGCGAACGCTTAACCTACTGGATCACTGAGCCGACCGGCATCCAATGGTGTTAGTGTATAACATCAACCAATCTACGAAATTGCGCGACCATCTTCCATTGTACTGAGGTAGATACCTGTCTCTACCCGATACGGATTAGCTCCACTGGTCATGGCTTCTCACTAGAACTCCGAGAATTCCCTCACGAAGCTAGTCACTAGTGAGCACATGTTGATTATCAGTATTGGGGTTGTGGAGATTATAAAGTTTTCGATTGAGATGGTTCCAAAAAAAAAAACAAATAGTTATAAAGTGCCAAGTTATGACACTTCATTATGGAATCAAACTTAGAATATTTATTATGTTTCGGTACAAATATTGTTTCTCTGAATTCATATTAAAATAGAATCTGGGATCGTTCGCAGATTTTCTTCAATATTGAACAATTTATCATATAGAACCATCATTGTATAATATCATCAGTAAGCATTGATTTCATTGGTTTCATCATATCTATCAGGGATGGAAAGACAGTCTGGATTCATAAACTAACATATACTTTTCATAAGGTTACTATGTTGCGAGCTACTAATCCAAATTAAGACAGTAACTTTAGAAAATACAGTTATATGGTTTACGATAGATTTCTATACCATTTGTTCTTTATAGATAGTGAATCATTAGCTTGAAATTGAGATTTTTCCTATTCTCGTCAGTGAACTCTTTATATCACTAGATGTTCACTTCCACTCCCTGATAATTGCAGATAAAAACAACACATAAGAACAGTGAATGAAAAGAATTTCCCTAGAATGAACTATAATTGTAGGTTTGTATCAAGGTATTTCAAGAGGGGAGACAAGGCTCTTAGATAGTGGTTGAAGGTAGTTGACAGGAAACCCTGAACCCGAGTTTCGTGCTACTTATGCACTCATCAGCAAGATGTACCTGTAATCTTAAGGGAGAGACTAAGCTCTCTCTTGCCCCCAAATGCCCTGGTACGGCTCGAGAGTGGGGAGAGTCCGCTCTCCCTCTCGAAACGCTGTCACATGGCCAAGCGTATATACCCTCTGCCAGAAAAGTCCTACTCACTGCCTTCTCACACAACGGGTGTTGTTCACGAAATTGAGAGGACGAAAACCGAATGTCCGGTGCTTTAACCAGATCCCAAACCAATGGTGCACATGGGCTCCAGCATACGGCGGGAACAAATGGCGTATGAATATAATGTTGGTCACCGGCTAACATAGGACTGCATCTCCTTACGATGCTCCACTGCCTTGTGGATCAAACCTTCAGGTTGAATGCTCCGGATGTGACCCCCTAAGAAAACCACCTGCTTCGGTTTGGGCACCCGGTCAGTATCACAGTCCTTACACATATCAAATGAGATCTGTGTGGCGCATATGTATTGGGTGCCTCCTTGTACCAATATCTATGTGTTCAAATAAATAAATAATAAACTCTCTTTACCATAGGTAGATGAACTTGTACATTCATCAACAAATATAATTCATGTGTAAACAAAAAATGATAAAACTCTTTAAATCTAATTCAGTAATATATTTTCAATAATTGAGATCATGAATCCACAAAACCCCTTTGTGATTCTAATCAACATATGCTCACTAGTGACTGACTTCAAGAGGTATATATCCTGGAGTTCTAGTAAGAAGCAATGACCAGTAAAGTTCAACTGAATGGTCAATTGTGAGATAGTAACTCACTGATGACAATGATAGATTAATTGAAGTTAAACATTAACACTATTAGATACCAGCAAGTTCAGTAGTCGAGTTGATTAAGCGCTTATTACAAGATTGACAGATCTCGGGTTCGAGTCCCACAAGGTGGGGTTGTGGATGTACATTGTTGAGGAGTAATCTTACAATAGAACAAAACAACTATTCAGTTCTTCCAAATATTTCATAATGATCTAGCTTTAATGAACTTATGATTTTAATTATTGAAATTATTACCTCTTCTATTTATTATTCAATAATATTCGATAATAACTAATATTTTCAATGATTAAGATCATGAGTCAGTTGAAGCTAGACCACCATGGAAAACTTGGAAGCACTGGACGGCCGTTTCGCCCTATTATGGGACTCCTCAGCAGTGCGCATCCACGACCTCGCCCCCTGCGAGATTCGAACCCAGGACCTACTGGTTTCGCGCGCGAGCACTTAACCACTAGACCACTGAGCCGGCATCCAACGGTGTTAATGTCTAACTTCAACTAATCCACGAAATTGAGCGACACATCCACCATTGTCTTCAGTGAGTTACTATCCCACAACAGACCTGGTTGAACTCCACTGGTCACTACTTCTCACTGCTGAGGAGTCCCATAATAGGACGAAATGGCCGTCCAATGCTTCCAGGTTTTCCATGGTGGTCTAGCTTCAACTGACTCATGAACTTAATCATTGAAATTACTACAATCTCCACAAAACCCCTTCTGATAATAACTAATATATTTACCTGATTTAAACAATTACTAATTTCTAATGCAGATTCTGATAATTGTATTGTATGTTTCATAATAGACCAATTTGATTCTATTTGATTTAAATAACATTGCATTTGATCTGTATTTAATTTAATTTCAGTTAAATTAGCTTGTAATACTAAACAATCCGATTGATAACGTATTAATATAGTTAATAAACGATATAATATTAATTGAGCACATTGTGCTATATCAGATAAACGTTTATATGGTGTAAAATATGCTAAATTTGATAAAAATAACATTAATGTATATGGTGTAAATGATATTGGTAAATGAATAGAATCTATACATAATTCTGTATAATCAAATTGATTTAATAAAGTTTGTTCAAAATCAAGATTACCAATACCGATACCGGCACCGAACCGGCATTGGTACTGGTACTGGTACCGGTACCGTTACCGCCAACACTATTATTAGTAGCAGTTGTTGTTGTTGTTGCTGTTGTTGGAATATTTTGTTTATTATTAGTGATATTATATTCATAATATTGTTTTAATATTTGTGTAATCCATTCTGGTTCAGGTAAATCATAAACATTAGAATTCATTTGTGTTGTGATTGTTGTCAATGTTGCTGTTGTTGTTGCTGCTGCTGCTGATGATGATGATGATGACTTTGTTGTTGTATCAGTTACTTTGTTATCATTTAAATGTTCCAATGAAGTAGTCTAAAAGAATTGAAATCAAAATAAAAGTGATGAAATCATTGAACAATAGATATAAATGAATAAGTATTCTTTATATTAGAAAGGGATTTTGTGGATAATATAGTAAGTTTAATCGTTGAGATTGTGAGTCCAGTGAAACTAGATCACTATGGAAGTACTGAACAGCTGTTTCGTCCTATTATGGGGCTCCTCAACAGTATGCACCTACGATCAAGTTTCGCGAGATTCAAATCCAGGATCTATCATTCTATCACATGAACACTTAACATCTAGATCACTGAACTTACTAGCATCCAACAGTGATAATATCTATCTTCAACTAATCCACGAACTTGAGCGAAACATCCATTATTGTCTTTAGTATGTTGCTATTTTATAACAGACCCGGTTGAATTCCACTGATCACTGCTTCTCACTAGAACTCCAAGAAATAACTCATGAAGCCAATCACTAATGAGTATATGTTGATTAGTATCTTACTCCTCAGTTTGAATCTCGAAAGGCGGGATTGTAGATGAACATTGCTGAAGAGTCCCATAATAGGACGAAACAGGTTTTCAATGGTGTTCTAACTTCAATTGACTCATGATCACAACTATTAAAATTATTCTTTATATGGTTAGTAAGAATTAAGCTTGATATATGGAATGTTAATATCACCAATTATCAAATAAATAACCTATAAACGGTTGTATCTTTTACGTTTTATCTTTTTCTTTGTTATATACATAAGCTTTCTATAAAATAATAAACTCATCCATTGAATGATTACTAAGCAGTGACCAATTTCACATTACACCTTTAATGTTGTTCGAATTCGATCGATCAAGTTTGTAATATGACTACCAATCTACATAACTTAACAAGGGATCTATTATGTTTTGGTTTTAGGCTAAGTGGGAACTTTAGACACTTCTACTAACATAATCCAGAGAGAATAGCTTGTACTAATAATGTGTCATCTACAGGATACAGAAGCATTTAGCTGATGAGCCTTAAACAGAATGAAACATGTATCCTGGATTTCCCTGTTAATCACATACCAAATATTCTGTCAGTTTGGACTAAGAAGTATGTAGAGACTATCCATTCGGAATGTATGTACAACAATAAAGATTGATTAGTTGAATATTAACAATGGGAAATTACAAAATCACCAACCAGTGTGGTTTGGTGTGTGACAAAATTTCATCACGGATACAGAAGGCTCGACTAGCTTTTGCCAACTTGCATCATTTGTGGTGTATACGAGATATCCGTCTACGAAACAAAGGACGGGTTTACTACGCAGCAGTTCGTTCCATCCTACTTTATGAAAGTGAAACATGACCGGTATGAGTAGAGGATATTCGTATATTACTAGTATTCGATTATAGGTGTCTTAGAAGCATTGCTCGTATATCCTGGGACCATCAAGTAAGTAATGCAGTTGCTAGGAAACGATTACAAGGTAAGAATGACAAATCAATTAATGAAGTAGTGAAACCTAATCAGTTGAGATGGCTGGAACACGTGTTACGTATACCCAACCACCGACTGCCCCGACAAGCGATGTTTTATGGTGTAGGAGTAGGTTGGAAGAAAGCTAAGGGCGGCCAGACCGAAACATGGCATAAATCCATGAAGTCACTGACAAGTGGACTGAGTCATGTTGGTAGTTGTAGACTACCTGGTTAGGATCAGCGAGACGAAATCAACCGATGGTTAGAGATCTTCAATGACATGGCTCAAAATCGTTTACAATGGCGCAGGTACATTCACTCTTTTTATTCTCCCAAATTCCTCTCTTCTGAATGCTTCATGTCCCCTATTTTTTTCTCTTTCCAAATTTATTTTACTCGATTGTACTCCTTGAATAACATCTTCAAACCCTAATCTTTCCGTTTACTGCTTATACGTTTACTACCTCTACCACTATGGGATTGGAATTGACAACTGCATCTCTGCAGAAACATGGTATGACAATTTGCACTGATATACGCATGTACGAAGCTCTAAGTAGTTGTTGCTGACTAACTGACAAACTCATACTAATCTTGTATTGCTTATGTATAAAACTATTTTTTATATTAAGATAAAGAAGAAAAGCATAGGAGATGGTTTTAAAAGAATCTTGTTTAGACGATGTAATCTGATTGACATAATGGATCACAATATTAAGAGGAGAAAAAAAGAAGAAGAATTCCTGCTGTGCAAAATAGTTAACGAGCTCGGTAGATGAAAAGAAAAAGTCTATTCAATAATTACATGAATTGAAGTCATTCATTCTTCATGATAAAATATTCCTGTATCTATGTGAAACACACTATACATCATCACTTTACAGAATATAACAGTTTTTTTTCAAATGCTCTGGTACAGCTGAAAATGGGGAGAATCAGCTCCACCCTCTCTAAATGCTCTCATATGGCCATGTGTATACAATCACTAACAGGGAAGTCCTACTCACTGTCATCTCGCACCGCCGCTGTTATTTACGAAATTGAGAGAACGAAAAGCGAATGTCTGGCGTTTTAACCGGGTTGGTGGATAGAGAGAGTCCACCTAGGGGAGTTGGAAAATCCTGATTCTAAACCATGGGTGAACATGGGCTCTAGGATCTTGAAGGAACAAATGGCGTATGAACCAATTATCGGTCACTGGTTACCATGTGATTGCATCTCCTGACATTGCTCCACTGCCTTGTGGATCAGACTTTTAGGTCAAAGGCTCCGGATGTGACCCCTTAAGAAAATCACCTGCTTCAGTTTGGGCATACGGGCAATATCATAGCCCAAACACAAATCAAATGACTTGTGTGGCGCATATGTATTCGGTGCCCCTTTGCAACAATATTTATGTGTTCAAATAAATAAATAATGTTATTTCTGGTTTTATGATCTTCAAAAATCTTTACGTTTGTTCTAAAAGAAGAAATCGATGTAAAACAACACCATGAATCTCCAACAACAACAACAAAGAAAAACGAACAGTATAACTTATTTCACGAAATTCCCTCAGATTCACTTATTGATTTGCTGTGTAATTTCAGCTTGATATTATCCAAGTATACTACTATTTCTTAAGGTTAACATCATGAAGTGATCTTAAATTACACAACCATTGAAAACCAGGAAGTGCCGGACAGGTTTTTTGTCTCAGTATGATATTCCTCAAGATTGACCATCTATGGCACTATCGAGCATCGAGACCATGACAATCAGGTATTTAGACTATTAAGCCAGGATTCAACGATATGTACGTTGAACTGAAACCAATTCGTCGTATTGTGCAACCATCTTAGGTTGTGTGTGATGGATGATTAGCTCACATCCTGCATAGTTAAACTTCAAAAGTCACGGTCTTTCACCAGAACCTCTAGAACCTCATTTTGAAGTTAATCAATAATAAGTACAGAATCATTACTAGTAAACGGATTTTGTGAAGATTGTTGAGTTTGCATCGATTTCATCATATACTAATCTTAGTTAGAAAATTAATTCGGTTACTGAATGGAACCAATATCAATTCAATTCACTGGTTATAAAATGATATATTTATTAAATTTATTAAATTCAATTGTTATTTATTTATTTATTTGAACACACAGATATTGGTACAAGGAGGCATTAAATACATATGTGCCACACAAATCTCATTTGATATGTGTGAGGGCTGTGATATTGCCCGGGTGCCTAAAACGAAGTAGCTGGTTTTCTTACGGGGCCACATCCGGAGCCTTCGACCTGACGGTCTGATCCATAAGGCAGTGGAGCATCGTAAGGAGATGCAGTCAAATGGTAGCCGGTGACCAACGATTGGTTTATACGCCATTTGTCCCTTCAGGATACTGGAGCCCACGTGCACCATTCGTTTGGAATCAGGGTTTTCCATCTCCCCTAGATGAACTCTTCGTGTCCACCGACCCGGTTAAAGCGCCGGATATTCGCTTTTCATTCTCTCAATTTTGTCAACACTCCCGTTACGAGAAGGCAGTGAGTAGGACTTCCCTGACAGAGGCTATATACGCGTGACCATATAAGCGCATTTCGAGAGGGTGATAGAACTCTCCCCACTCTCGGATGTACCAGGGCATTTATGGGCTAATTCAACTGTAATCCACCACATTTTTCTTAAATTTATAATCTCAATTAAATTTACGAGTTGATCTAAGCTAGACCATCATTGAAAACTTCAAAGAACTGTACGATCGTTTCATCCCAATATGGGACTTTTCAGCAGTGCGCATTCACGATCCCATATCAAAAGGACTTGAATCGAGGACCTTCGGTTTTGTGTACAAACATTTAACTTTTTGAACCATTGATCCGATATATTCAACAGTGTTCATATCCATCTTGAATCGATCCTTAATATGGATAACTGTTTAAATACTATAATCTTTACAAATGTTTCTATCTAATCATTAAACATTGATTATATAAAATTAATCATCCCATATCGAACCGGTAGGTTATTTATTTATTTATTTGAACACATAAATATTGGTACAAGGGGGCACCAAATATATATGCGCCACACAAAACAATGATAATTTGAAGAGAAGGAGAAAAGAGAAAAAAAAAGTAATGAACGTGGGGAATTATAGATAAATAAATAAAAAGAGAGAGAGAGAGAACAATGATGGGGAAAACGGAAAGGTACAATCAGAAGAGATGTTTCAGTTAAGGAAGATACAACCACTTTTTATGAAGAAAGTAAAAGAAGGTTACAGCACGATCGCCACTGGCTTCTATTCTGAGCCATATCTGATAACGTCTCTAGCCACTGCGTTACACCGTCTTTCGGACCCCAACCAGGGAGTCGTGAAGGACCAACAGAAGCTAGCCCTTTTCAGCTTTCTTTCATACCACGACACCATGTCATATACTGACCACCGGTAGGGATTCGATTAAGTTTTAAATGAAAATTGTAATTTATACAATATCAATTCATGAAATACGAAATCATCTCTTAAATTTAGATAGAAACAATTCATTCAAACTTATCATATAACATAG